TTTTTTGTAGCATGAAATTCATCTTTTTTACCTTCAAGTAACCAATACATTTTTCCAAGGACAAATAATAACACATTACCTTAGCCACTTAAAGAGAATTGAGGGAGCTGGAAGGGTATGACACATTTTCCGAGGTTGAAAATGTGAGTTCATGCTTATTCTTTTAAATGTTTTAGTTGTGCCAATAACGCGCGACTGTAACATTCTTCGCATCTGCTTCAACGGCAGCGAGATGATAACTTGCTTAATAAACGATCAAATAAATAACAAAAGAAATATGTCAATTTGAGCGAAGTGGGAAGTTATTTAAGAAAAATTTCCAAAGGCGAAGTTTGAACACATGTGGTGTGAGCTCGTCTTATGTTTTAAATGTTTTAGCTGCACGCGACCTTTGAGAACCCGATTAACGAAGCAACATTTTGTCAGAATTAGATGGACAAATTACAACTAAGGCTTAGAATAATTTTTTATGAGGTTCAAATAACCTCTTTTTCTACCTTCACTTGCAATTTTAGAAAAGGATGAAGCTTGTGGTTTTAAATCTCTTAGTTTGTCTTAAATTGTTATCGTCGAACTGGAGTTTTAGATTGCCGGTACACATTGTTATGCACCAGAAATTGCACATGTAGTCAGTAGGGCATGAAAACCTGCAGTTGGTTTTCCCTTGAGTTATGTGACTTTTTCCAACGTCACTGTTTACTTTTTTCTCTCATTTGTTTTCATGTAAAAGTACCCGAATCGAGGAAGAAATTATTTCAAAAATTCGACTCGCCACTTCGTTGCTTGTGAAAGTGGGAACTGGGGCAGACCCAATCTAAATGTTCATGCATCATGTTCTGAAATCGCAAGGCTTTCTAATATTAGGTGCAAGACAGAAGGGTTAAATACATTCAGTACACAATTTCTAGTTTAAGAATATCAGAACAGTTTTGACCAATTTCTTCTCGACTTGTTCGTCTCCAAAGGCCTGCACAGGAGAAAAGAGCTGAAAGTCAAAAGAACTGCGACAAAAACTTAGGAAAGAATCGTAGCTCAGAAGCTATCTTCCGAAGGAAGGGGTAAATTTGATAATCAACTGAGCTCAATTCGCCAAGCCAAATTAAAGACTAATGACCTATATTAATCTGTCAAGTCATCACAATGTGCTCGCCAGGCCAGGTGGGACACAATGATCTGCGTTTGGAACCACAACATCAGACCTGACCTCAATCAGGCTTTTTCAAGTGCCAGTGCATATCTGTCAGATAATTTTTTTTTGTTTTTAACATATTTATCATTGTTTTCTCCAACAAGGGGGATTAAAATATTACAAACATAAAATTCATTCATTCAGGTTAGAATTTAGAACGAAGCTATCTTCCAATGGAATTAAGGGGTAAATTTCAATCCGTTTTCAAAGCGACCAACAATCGCATACAAAAACGATTTGGAGAGAGATTATCGCTTTTTCGCCGCTGGTTTATCAGAAATGGATTTGGGTAATGTTGATACAAGGGTAGCGTAAGTTCCTGTTTTAGCAACCTTGAAATATGTATTAAGTTCCTGTTTTAGCAACCTTGAAATATGTATTAAAAATGGTCTACCGATTAACTTGTCTCCATGCACAACAGTTTATTGTGAAGCTAACATCGCTTAATGGTCTCGAAATTTGGAAATATTAGCTATAAATCGCTAAGAAATAAGTCAATAAAACCTTTTCAGCTTTTATGACGTGTGTTGAGTCTACTTCTAACTGTTTTCTTGGCTTGGTAATATAAAAGAGCGCCACAACATCTTAAGTTGACAATTCGCATTATGAACAGCTGCAAAGCATTTAAGCCCTAGTGCGTGTTTTACAAAAATTTCAAGAGGAAAACCGCAACAACACATTGTGATTGACATTGTCGATCAGCTGCTGACGCGTCACTCCCATTTCGCGCCACTCGGTCAGGCAAAGTCTCCAACATGCTCAATCTAACATGGCTGTTTGTCGGAATTTACTCGGATTATAGCTGCTAAAACACTGAAAAATCCGTACCGCTTACGGATAGTGACGTTCAAACTTTCCTAGAAGGAGAAGAAAACCAAAAGGAGAAAAGCTGGTGGGAAACAAACTGAGATTACAGCTTAATATAGGTCATAAGGATTGAGTCGATTTAGTGGAAAATACAAAACTTGCTTCTTCTAGCCCGTAAACATTCTCCACAAAATGCCCACAATGCAAGACTTTCTTGTCTTTTTGGCTGTCGTTTTTCAGTTGATGATCCTCTATTTCTTGATGGAAATGGACAAAGCTGTGCGGCACAGGGTAACGGCAGACAATAATGAGCAGCGTGCAGGAAGACCGGAGTTCATTACAAATGTACAAGGAAGAAGAAGGGACAACGAAAACCATTGCGTTCCGCCAAACAGGAATCGTCCCACAGAAAATGATGAACGCCAGGGCTAAAAAAACAGGGTATGCTGTTTAAGAACCTTTTTCTGCGTTAGTTAGATAAGGTAATAAAATACATTAACAATTTTTAAAAAACTACAAAAAACTGTTGTAAAATATTTTTGACGACGTTTCGACTTCGCTTCACTGTCATTGTCAAGTTAAGAGCAATATTGAATTGAATTGTGCAATCAAATGTCTCCAAATCTGTCCTTATACGCAGTTAGACTTAATTTCATGTAGAGATCGAACATATTTCTTAAAGATTTGTTCGCTTTATGTTCAGCCACTATTCAATCGCCTGAAAAATTTATTTATTCAGTACAATCTCTGCAGAGTGATGGAACTAATTACTCCATCCGTTTTTGAGGAAGCTTCTCCAAACACTTCTCTCGTTGAATTTTTCCAGCAAATTCCTCGACTTTCTGTTCATTTTCCCTGTGCAGGTCCTCGAAGACGAACGAATCGAGGGAATTTATTGTTTATGGTACTTTGAAGCCGGGAAGGAGTGTTCACGACCACTGAACATTTTTGGTTGTTTAATAAAGAGCCTAGTTTGATCATTTTCAGAAGAAATAGATAGACAGGGATAGCTAAACGAGATGAACGAACAACAAAGTGTATCAGTATTTTTATGTTTTTATGGTTCTGAGAAGCTTTATCTTAAAAAAAAAAGAAAGGGGCTGGTAGTATTTTGTCTCAGTTTGTCTAAAACTGTTATCAGCCTGGTGAAGCTTCAATGTCATGTCCATGTTTTTTATTATTATCCAACTGCACGAAGTAGAGCACAACTAATGCGCGAATCAAGAACAAACATATACAGGTTTTTTTAAGTACAAAATAACCATCTGCCCAAATCTAGCGTGATACTTCGCCGATAACGAGGAACTGCTTGTAGTCTAAGCACTTGCTATCTGTATCAAGAATGAACCTTGAACTTCTTTATTTTTTCGCAGTGTATCTGATAACATGATCAGTCAGGCTAGTTCGGCACCTGTAGGCAGAGTCATGATCAAGATATATGTCGTTTGATTGTAAATTGATAAATGTTTATATTATTACATACCCTTTGGATTGGATTCAATGTGCTGCCTTAAGTTAAATGAAAGGTTGTGCCAGTGAAGATAGCCTATCATGCTACTATCATTGCTTCGTTTTTTTTCCCTGCCTGTGGGCAACTCGTCTCAATATGTATTGTACGCGATTGTAGGTAGCTTTGAAAACGAATTGAGCTTAGTTATCAAATTTGCCCCTTCCTTTGTAGTACAGCTTCTGAGCTAAGATTCTTTCCCGAGTTTTTGTCACAATTCTTCACATGAAGGAAACAGAGGGATGGGTCTCATGAGTAATGAATCAAAACAGCTTTGATTGTTGTACACAGAAAAGTTAGGGAAAACACTGACATTTCAAAATTTCTCTGATCATCCCTGACATTATTAGATAGCCTTTGAGAACATGATGCATGGACATGGATGGCTTCACAAGATGGACACATAACAAAGCTTTAGAACGATCTTTTGTATGGTTCAGATAACCTCTTTTTCTACCTTCACTTGAAATTTTAGAAAAGAAAGAAGCTTGTGGTCTTAAATCTCTTGGTTTGTCTGAAATAGTTATCGTCGACATGGAGTTTTAGATTACTGATACTTATTAGTAGGGACGCACCAGAAACCGCACAATCAATCAGGCATGAAAACACACTTTTTTACATTTTTCTTCACGAAACTAGCATACTTCAGTTTCGTGGAAAAGTATTCGATTTGAGGAGTAAATCATTTCGAAAATTGGAAAAATCGACTCATAATTTGAAATATGTGAAATTTGCAGCTCCATGCGAGTGAAATTCTCCAAATATTCGCCATCGCCGGCAAAACGGCCAACTTTCTGAGTGGCAAAACTACTAATGAGCCCATAAATTAACATTGTTTTTGAAACTTCTAGCTTTTAACATCGTGTGGCTGGGAAGATTTTTTTCGATGTAACGGGCCGAATGTCGCAGAGAAGGTTAAATATTCACTATATTTCGATTATTCAGAACCCCATTTTTCGTAGCTTGAAAGGAGCGCTACCACAGCTACGTCGAGACAGCAGGAGATTGAAATGTCGAGAAATGGTGAGCTTGAACACGAAATATTATCGTCAGATACATTTAGGTGATTAAACACCTACGTTGCTTTTCTGATGTGATCAACGAGAACGAACCAGCGTTGATAATCGACTCAAAGCTGAACCCTTTCTTCTGCGACGATGAGTAGGTACAAATGGGTCGCTAAAGGAGCGATGCACAACTAATGGTAAATCCACCGTTTCTAATGGAGTTCTCGTGATCTTGCTTTTCCCGACAAGATCCTCAAAGGAGTTCGAGGAGAGAAGCGGCAGCTACAAAACCTTTGGATTATTCTCAAACAAACTATCACTTGACCAAGGGATTTCCTCATGTTTTTCACCGCTTATTTCATCCTTCCTAAAAGCAACAGCTCGATAAAATAAATTTCCATCTCCGCTGACAACGACTTCTCTCCTTCGAAGAGTTATATTTTCAGACGTCGTAATTTGTTTATCTGATACGTTAACAAGTATAAAAATAGGCTGTACATACATAAATACAATTGAAAAGACTTAAGTGAGTTATCTCATAGCGATTAACGGCTAACTTTGTAAAATGTCAAGACCATTACGCGATGACGATTTCACAATAAACCTGACACGAGGAGAGACGTTCATCGGTATATTTCGTGGAAATACTAACAAAAACTTACAGTTTTCTCGAATCAACATTATCTTTATCCATTCATGATAAAACTGCGGCGGAAAAGCATTGATCTCTCTCCAAAACTGATCGTTGTTTCGGACGTTGAAACAACCTTTCGCCGCCATACATTTCTTTATAGCGAGTTGCAATGTTTGCCCCGTGGCGATCCCAGAAATCTTTGCGCAAACACAAGGATCCGATTACTGGCAACTCATTCATTGAAACGGAACTTGAAGATAATCAATCTTAAAGACCAAATAAGTTTTGACTCTGGTAGTGTTCCCTTCAAAAAAGGAAAAAAACTTAAAATACGCTGATTATGCTGACAGAGCTACATTTATTAAAAAAAGCCAAAATTATACGCGTATTTCTACATTATGCCAAAAATTATGCTAGCACAATCTATAAGGGCCTAACCACGAGCGAGCATGACTACGCGTATCACGAGTAACTAACCTCGTTCCAAACCTATACCATTCTTGAATTTTAAATAGACGACGGAGTCAATTTCAAAGTCTTCAAGACACAGAACTTTCCAACTGAGAACAATGTAAAAGAAACAACAACTTTCTCCCTTGTTATGGACGTACGATCATTCAACAGTCATGGACTGTTCATTTTTCTGGCACAAGTCACTCTGTGATAACACGAGTGCTGATACCGCAAACTTCTCGAGCGGCTCGTAATCCAGTTTCCATGGCAGTGTGGACAGTAGCACAGGCAGTCACACTCGTGGCTTCACCAGCGAAAAACAGGCGATCCCCCACAGGGCGCCCAAGCTCGTGGCGCAAGCCATACGCATGAACTGTTGGAGAGCTGTACCCCCCGCGAATGAAAGGATGTTTGGACCAATGGTAATAGATGTAATCCATGAATGAATCAGTAGCAGGGTGCGGGTTGGAGACAGTTCTGTTGAAAAAGTTGAAACAGGTAACAGGAATGTTAAGTTTCTGAAAAGAAACTTAATATTTAAAGTTAAAACGTTAAACTTTGAACGTCTCGTTAACATCAAAATATTTTTTTTCTAAAAAGCTAAAAGTAAATTATGTTAACTTAATTCGTCTCATGATCCCTAGAAAGCCCTTCAACAAAAATGGCGAATCACGTTTGACCCTCTTCCTCTTCAGATGTAAATATCTCTTCCCAGCACTATCTACCGTACAGTTCTTATAAGTTAAGCTCTGAGAATATGGCCTACATCAAACATTATTCCCGTACATTTTTTAACTGAAGTACTCATATTTTCAGAGGAAATTCCTCTTTGTGCAAGTGAAAAGGATAACAACTTTCATAGTTATGGATGATTCACCCTCATAGAATGAAAGTATATGGTCCATCTAGCATTTTCGGATAATGCAGCTTATTTTAATGCAGAAAAGAGAGTCAAAAATGGTTCATATTTAGACACATTTGTAAAGGTACAGCTTCCACCCCAACCATATTAAGTGCCTAACTTCTCGAGTTCAACCTTAAATTTTGCCAACAGACTGCGAAACCACTCGCAAGTAAACGGTGGGTGGTGGTTAAGATTTCTCACTCTATTTTATCAAATGTGAACACTTTAAAGAGTAGTCTCGTAGATTTATTTAGCTACTTACAATGTTTGTACAATATAATCAAATCCATTAAACATTCATTTAAATTCAATAATTGTCTTCTGGTACAATTTTTGAAATCTGTGTGCGACTGTTCATGGAGCAAGTACAATTTTTGAATGTCACCATCAGACTTGTCAATTATGGTGAAATAATTCTGTTAAACTTAGAATTAAATGATAAACTCGAATTAATGTGCATTAATGTTTATTGCAAGACTCCAATGAGATTTATAATCAAAATTCAGATTAAACTGTTATGAAAATTTCGTATCTACCTCCCGCAATGCTGAAGTTCCAGAAATGTCCCAATAATTTCCATTCTCTCTACCTACTTCTTTTGAAGGGTGGGGCACTTACCGAAATATGTGATCCAAATCTTGAAGAAACCCATCTAAAACTTCTTGTCCGCTGAGGTTAATTTTCGCCTCTGCGGGCTCAGCCGTTTGAAAGCCCGCGATCAGATGACACTTCTCAGTGCTCTCCGTCGAGTCACGTGTGTACATCCATATTTGGCTCACAAAGCCCCGTACTCTGTATAATAGGTTTAAGTTGTCCGGCCAGAATTGTGACTTGAAACGACAAACAATTTTCAGTGCCCCTCTCATTTTTATTCCGTCTATGGCTCTTTTTTTGCTCGCTGGCAAAGGCGGAATGAAGGTTATGTCACCATCTTTGAGAACTGTCAGTGGCACAGTAATAATCACATATTTGGCGGTTAGAGTTTGGCCGAGTTGATTCTTTAGACAAACATGTCCATCTGATTTCGACTCATGCTGCATTTCTATTTTATCCGTACCATTCTCACCTGCAAGAAACAGCATTTAAAGAATGGAAATTGCTCCTTCTTTGAACAAAGAGTTGAGAAAGATGGTGAAGTTTTGAGCTTAGTCTTTGTCCTACCCTTCACAAAAACATACAAGTACCCACCGGGAATCAAATCTCAGACATTAGGATTCCGTGCTCCGACGTTCTACCGCTGAGCTACAAAGACCCTAGGTTCATATATGACACCTGTCCTTCAAGTACTGCCGGGATTGGCATTTTTTGAAAGTGTTATGTGAATAAATAGAATCAAAAAGCTGATAAATTTTGAGCTTGGTGAAGAAATAAAAGTGTTTTTCGTCTATGTGAGTAAATGTGAAGAACGGAACACGAAACTAAGAATTGCACCTTGCAAACCTTAAGAATTGAACCTTGCGAACATTAAGACCTAAACACTGCGAACATTTATGTTATTTTTTAATGAGAACCTACCATGAAACTGAATATTGATTATCTTATCAAAGGGCGTGTTTATTGACACACACGTAGCTTTTATATACCCGAATTGAGTTTAATCCTTCGAGAGAAATTGTTGTCTACGAGAACGGATAGTTTCTTTTTGACAAATTAGAACCTTGGAATATTGTAAATCTAATTATCGGAGGATAAAGCCAATAAAAACCTTAGCAACCGTAAATAGCAGAAAGCTGATAAATTTTGAGCTTGGTGAAGAAATAAAGGTGTTTTGCGTCTTAGAAACGATACCTTGAAGACAAATTATTAGTTGAGTGTCAAACGCATTCTAGGATTGCATTAGCATTGCTAAACTTTGTCCTTTGATTGTTCTAGAAAACGTGCACCATCCTCTCAACCAATCAGTTGCAAAACTAAAACCAACCGCGACTTGATGAATTCCATTTCCTGTGCTTCAATCAGTTTGCTCGCTATTACTATGACTTCTCACTGGCTCTTTGTGGTAAATAACTTTTGTTCTAAGTTTAACGACACTACATAAAATTTCTTTTACTTCACCCGGACGATCACACTATACGAACTACACTACATAAAATTGCTTCATTCGATTAATATCAGCTCTCACTGAAGGCGAGTGCATGGAATATATACCGTGTTATATAAAAGACATATAAATGTCTCTCAAACAACTTTACCTTTCCAATTAATCTCTGTCACTTGCCAACACAGCCGTTTCTCGACTTCAGAACACTTCTTTAGGAAATGCTCCACAAGCAGAGAATACGATCCCGCCAACCTGAAGAAAAAATTTGAAAAAGCAGTAAAATATACCTTGAAAAATAAATACCGAGAAAAATGAAATATACTGAAAATACCGTGAAAAGTTTATGAGATACGCAAACAATTAGATGTGTCCTTTATAATTCTCATGTTGATCAGGGGTTTATCCTGAAAAAATTGAGAAGAACGGGCAATAAAAGGCAGTAGGGGAGCGATTGTATTCTATAACAACAACCAACCTTCACATCTACTTGAAATGGATTACAAAATTTGACCAAACATCCAACAAAGAAGGGAGGCAAAGGGGAGGATAGTAGTCATCGAGGTCCCAACCCACCCACCCCCCCCCCCTCTAAATCCACCCAAGTTGGTAATAAAATCTGAGGAAACCAATCTTCAAGAGTCAACCTTTTTCAGTTTGAGTGGTTTTGCTACGAAGCAAGTCTAAATTGTTAACATTTGGGTCATTTTGGGGTGCTTCTTTGCAAGGACGCGGTGAGCTTTGTCGCGAACCTGCCTGGTTATATTAAACCTGCATATGGGAGTAGATTCTTCAGTCAAACGTTCAATTTTGTTACTTTTAGACATGAGCACAAGCAATTGACGTCACAAGTGGTAATGTATTCTTTAATCTTCCACACGTAAAGTGAAACCAGGGGTGAACATGAAAGCGACCTTCGCAGTAATGAACACTACTTGGGCTGTAGTGAAAATAAGGCCTGAAAAAAATTCAGGCCTGTACGGGGTGACAATAACTTTTTCCAAAAGCGGTCGCCGATATTGTAATGGGCAGCTGCGCTGTAACATAAATCCCAAACGAGAGAACGTGCTCGCAGGCTAAACAAATGGCGGTAAACGACCGGTAACGAGCTTCTATGGAAACCTCTGGTAGAACATAGAAAGACTGAGTTAAAATGATGGATTGACGAAGGGCAGTTCATTGCTTGTGGTAAAGATGGTGGAGTGAGACCTCGCTTAAACACCCATTCAAAAGCCCCTTTTCCTTCTCTAGAAATTTTGGATTAAAAGTTAAAACTGTTGACCACAAAATTAAAACTAACTGACCTGAAATTCCCATCGCCATATGTCCAAGCATTTTCCTCACGTGCACACTCATACAGACCCATCTGGCTGGGTGCAGCAGCTACTGTTTGGCAATACATAGAATCAAACACCGCCATCACATCATCGTTACACTTCTGTCTCTCCAACCACTGTTGAATACTCATTTCTCTGCGACAGGAAAAAGTACCAAAGAAACCAGTCTCTATAAGTCTAAAATTCACCTTCCGTTGTTTTAAAATGACGCATTAAAAAGTGCATAAGATGAATTAGCCTCTCTCGTTGTTAAGTTTGTTCCATTACCTGCTTACTAGATTAGTAAATAAAGGGGTAAGTTTCTAAAGAACTGTGGTGCTACGTCGATGGTAGAGTATAACAGGGCAATTTAGTATTTTTATCAACCGAGTTGATAACGTAAATTGGCCACCGTAAAGAGTTTATAAGCGGAAATTTCGAGCGTTAGCCCTTCGTCAATCGCTCTGACGAAGGGCTAACTTTCGGAACGTCAGCTTTGAAACTCCTTACAGTGGCCAATTTACGTCATCAACTCAGTTGTTAAAACAAAATTACCCTACTAGACTAGTGATGTATTTTACTTTGCCAACCACTTACACCGCAGAGGTCAGATTTTGCAGCCATCTCTTCTCAGGGATGAATGACACTCAACTAAAATGTCTAGGGGACTTACCTAAAATTCTCGGCATCATCTCCGGGATTCTGTCTACTGTCAATTTCTGATGCCTCTATTGATTCTGCTTGGGCAGAAGTTGCCTTGGATTCTAAATCAGGTTTAACAGAGTAACTCTCTGCACTTCTGCCATTACCTTCACAGGAAACATTTTCTGCATTTTGATGGAGTTCTCTTTTAGATATCTTGTCCCAAAGAAAAATGATATCATCCCAAGCTTTCCAGGCTTTCTGAATATCAGGATGGCTACTTAATAGTGGATGTAATTCATCTTTGTAGAAAAACATGTATTCTTTCTCCATTCCCTCACATTTGAAGCACTGCAAAGTCAGCAAAATGGAAGATTTCTCTAATCATCTTATGTGCTCTCTTATCGAGAAGGAAAGTAAAGTTATGGAGGGCACTATGGCACACAGCCAATCAAAAAGAGCATTATGTACCAGGTGGTAAAAATTACCTGATCATATGACATTACACCCAGCATGAAAGTGCGACCCCTTGTTTGTGACAGTATGACAATTGTATGACAGTGAGATTGCATTATAAATCAAATCACCATCTTAGATGGCAATAGCTACTTACGTAAATATGGTCAAATATCTTTCCTGGGAGACTGATGTCTTTGTGGTATTGCAAAAGTCAGTCAAGCCCTTAGGATTGTTCACTCCCTTGGGACAAATTTTTTTCTCTCCCCATGCAGCCCTCTGCTGCTTTAAAAATCAAAGATGCACTTGCTCCTCAAAATTACACCAGCTATGCTGGGCACACACTTATTCGCTTTACAAATGAACTGCTATTTTAGGAAGAAATTCCTTTTTGGTCACTACTGGGCATAAAAGGGCTAATAAGAAAAGATGCCCTCATTAGGACTAGTATGTATGTTACAGTAGGGTCCCAGCCTCAGGAGTGAGAGAAAATATATTATAAATAACATGCTTTACAACACTTCAGTGATGAATTCTAAATGCAATTTACAAGTAACAAGTCCTGACCACTGATAATTCCATAGAAAAAGAAAAATTGCATGCATGCAATCAACAACACCTTCACCCACTAAAAGTTTATGTATCTTACTGGTTGCACAACCCAGCCATTTTCTTTTGCTGTCCTGGTTATGATACTATCTGATCCATGGATAAACTCTCCACCAAGATCAATTGGAGCAAATCCTTCAAATGGCTGAACTTGCTTCACTCTTCCACCTAGCGAGACAAGCAAAAAGTAATTATTGAAAAATTAAAGGAAATTAGAAGATTATTAAATATGTTCAAAATCCTCTCAGGTCCCTGAGAGATGGATCACAGTTAATACATACTCAACAAAACTCAATCCTGGGCCCAGTTGTTCAAAAGGAGGATAACTCTATCCAACAGATAAATTGCTATCCAGTAGATAGCAATTATACAACCAGGGCCTGATTGGTAAATAAAAACTGCTGAAAGTTGTCTACTGAGAGTAACACAGGATTTTCAAATGGCCTTCTCTTGAAATTATAGCCTTTAAAGATACCTATTCAACAATGCTAGATTAAAAAATAAATATTTAAGTTGAGTTTGGTCCATTCAAAGAAAAAACAACTATATTCCAAACAGTTCAAAAGTGATTTTGACAAGGGTTATAAGGGTATAAACAAAAGAGAAAATTGCATTACGTGCCTTCTTGTGCAATTCAATATGTTAAAAATTGACTACTGTATTTACCAAAATAATCAGATGCTTCCAATAAGACAACTTGAAGACCAGCCTCTGACAGAGCTGATGCTGCCGCCAGCCCAGCCATTCCTCCACCAACAACAGCAACTTGGGTATCATGGTAAGGTGGTGTTGCCTTCCCTTGAAGAAGAAATGAATGCACCATTGCTAATGCACAAAGAAAAAGCTGAATAACTTTTTAATCAGCTGTCAACAGGACCCAACAAATCATATATTCATTGCTTTTGTTTTTTTTTTCACATGAAGGCTTTTAGTAGTTACAACATGATAAGTAGAGTAGAACAAATTTATTTGTGGTTTGCACTTTGAGTAAGATGTCTTGTTCATGTGAAGATAAACACCCCTGAGTGACTGAGTCCATCCTTCTTTTCAGCTTCTTATCGTCTAATTCCCTAGTACCTTGAAATTTATCATGCAGGCCCACCAGAAAATCTAATAGTATACACTTTTCACTGTAGAACTTGGGTCAAAAACATTTCAAGATGTTTCAACTGGTCTCCAGTAATGTGATGATCATGATATTCCAAGGTTGGCAGGAGAAGGTAAAGTGTGCACTCCAACCAAGTGGAGCCTTAACCTCAAGTGACTAGAAATATCACTACTCTCCCAGATGGGATGGTAATTCATTGCAGGTTACCCCAAGATATTTTGTCAGCTTCCCTGATGGTTTTCCTGTACCCATTTATATTCTTGGGTGAAGAGAGGCATTGTCTGAGTAGAGTGTTTTATCTTTTGACTCACATAAGTGACCAAAACAGAATTTCTCCTCACAATATCCATACAATCTCAAGCAGACAATTAAACTAAGTGATGAGAATATAGAGAAATATGAATTAAGGGATTATTAGTTGATCCAGTGACAAATTCTCAGAACTAAAATCATAATAATTGTATGGCAGTTATTATGGAGAATTACTAATAAGATCTTGGGAGTGAAAGGTTTAACAAAGATCACAACACAATGACCAGCCCAGGTCTCGAACCAGGACCTCTCAACCTGGAGTCCACCACATCTCCCCTGAGATTCCAAGACCACTTGTTATAATCTGGAAAGCTTTCTGAGTCTTAACTTGATGGATAGGTAGATGTTCAAATTTTAATTAATTATACTCTGAATGTTCATTTCTAGCTACAAGAAATGGGGATATAAACTCTATAAAACCAACCATCACAATCAGCATTACTCATTCTGTTAACTCTCTTCTGATTGTGCTCCAAACAAGCTGCTGCGTGAAAACCAAGACACGCTTGACATTCTTTCAGTCAGTTAGGTAGGAGTTTATGTTCAACCCCTTGAAATTCATTCTTCTCTAAGCTTTCCTGAAACAAAAATTTATCATTTCCACTATTGAGAAATAAATTATTCAATAAGGTAAAAAGTCTGAGATTTTCATTCTTCATAAGCTAATAATAATTTGCTCTTTATCACCCCTATGACATGACGAATAAACATCTTTCAACAGTCATTGGCACTTCAACCAACATTTAGACTGAGGCCTCATGTACTACACAAAATCTGTATCTTGTGGTTGATAGCGTCTCAGTGTTTCAAGGAGGGAAAACTTAAAATAGAAGGACACATTCTTTAAGACACTCCCTGGAATGACAAAGGGATATACAATACATAACTAAATAAAATTATCATCAAGTGTGTTTGCCAAATGTTAGATCAATTAGTCTGCTGTACAAAACATTACATCAAGAACGTCCCTGATTAGCCTAAGTGCAGAAAAACCCCACCTCCCTCCCCATAGGAATGGACCTCAAACCACTGCCTCCCCTTGATGAATTCCCCAGTCGCAGTCCTACCTTAGGCATTCTTCTCTCGCTCTCATCTTAAATTAACATTATTTATGTCCTAGTTCTTGGCTCTTCTTGGATCTGCAAGTATGAAGTCTTCCCCTTAATAACCTGCTTAGATAGGTTGGAACGATTTCTGAAAATTCTCTGACCACGTGTCCAGCTCTCTTATGAATACACAATCAAAACAAAACAGATCAGCAGACTCTCCAACTTGACCATGCACTCCCCAGTTCCTCACGAACGTCACATCATTCTGTGTTAGAAACATTTCCAGTCATTTGCTTTTGTCGGGTAATTTTTTTTTTTATAGAACCGAGATTAACACAATTTCTATAATCAGCAACCAAGTACTATGTCCATGCGCCGAGCAAGTCACGCAGGAACCTGGTATTCTGATAATGGTACAGTAAAAGCGCTTAGAACAAAATGTTTTCTATCTGAAAGCAAACTTTAAATATTTGCTATCGCGAAAAAATACCGGTGTTTTAAAAATTACTTACATCTATTGTTGCTCCCGGCAATTCTAGCCCGAACACTTAATCAGAAGTTAGAGGAATGGTTATCTAAAGCTCACCCTTCGTGTCGACCAGCCAAAGCTATCATAGCACCGTAAGTAAAATTAGATATTTATGAAGTTCTTCGAAAATTAAATAGATAATTGAAGAACGACCCTTTGTGAATTAAGTGATGTTTTCTTTCTTTCATGAAGACATGCGGGTTATCAGTACTGTGGATCTTGTGGAGCTCATGCCTACAGACAGATCGATCCAAGTAAAATGTAAGTTATTATGGTGCCGTGTCCCTCGCGCTTTTCAAAGGTGTTAAGTAGGGGAAAAAATTATTTGAACAGAACTCGCATGACTATTCATGTTTGCCCCCGATATCAACGGGAAACAACAATATAAGCTTCAATAGATTTCTGTTTTCAGGTGCCATCCACAGACTTTTGGTGGTTCATTCAGTTAAGAGGCTAAGCGAGGTTGTTGAATTTTTGGTTCATGAAATCTCTTTTCTCTTTTCTTTTTCCTCATTATTTGCATTAAGTTCTCCTAACTGATTTGCATACAAATATTTTTGGGCAGCTTTGAGAATTGAAAATTGATAACCCGCTAATACACACTGCATTCTGACATAGTAAACTTATTTTGTGTGCTTTGGACTTTCAAGTGTGAAAATGTCTTGCTTTAATGTGTTATGAGAAATTGGGTGTTGGTCAGAAGAGGGAGCTGCCAGCTGTGTTGCTGTTATGAAATTAATTGAAGGGCCTGTTGCAATATGGAAATCTCATTGCGCCAAATTCAGAGCAAAAAATGTAAAGCAGTTTGCAGTTCATTAAAAGTATACAAGGTATCCTTTTCATCCATACAGTTACTAAGTAAATAATTTTAAATTTGTAGGTAACAATTGTATAAGCATTAATAATTTACCCACTGGCTCAACTTTGTCTTTGTCAACTGGCTAAGGAAAAAAATGAAACTGTACCCATTAAGAGTTAATTGTAAATATTTAAGCCAGGCCATGTTACAACCTACAATTTTATCAGATTTATATAACTTCTCATGTACATGAAGAAGCCTTGTTAAAAATTTTTATCGTAAACCATGGAAGAGTAAACTCCCTTTCTGACTGCTTGTGTTCTATTTAATTAGTTGTTTTATGTTTGTGGTTAATTCTGTCTGTCATTCTACCTGTTATTAAATGGCCAATTTGATTTCACTATTTTTTTAAGTAACATGTACAACTCTCTAGGGCTTCAAGTGAAACTTGTCTAAATTGATATTTTGATGACTGTAAATATTTAAAGGGAAAGTATTCTAGATCAATTTTTTGATCTTCTAAGAAGTTTTTGTTTTATAGAACGAAGGATAGACTTTAATTTTGGAGAGGGGGTTTATCAGTGGTACTATAATGTGGAGGGAAAAAATATTACCTAGAATGTCATTTGTTAGAGCATGGAATAGGTATGTTATATCTTATTGGCAATCCATGGACCTGAGAAGCTGCTCACATGAAATAAACTTACATAATTAACCTTTTAACTCCCATAAGTGACCAAGACAGAATTTCTCCTTACAGTATCAATAAAATATCAAACAGATAATTGATAAGAATAAAGAAAAATATCAATTTAGGGATGATAAGTTGATCCAATGCTAAATTCTTTGAACTAACCTTATAAGAATTACATGGTTGACAATCAGGAGAATTATAAAGTTGATCTGGGAGTTAAAGGGTTAACCCTTTAACTCCCAGAGGAGATTAACATGAAAATTATCTGACTGTAAACAGTATCCAGCAAACAGGTAATGAGAATATTCAAACCAATACTCAAACATACCAGGTAGAAGTTGATATCTTGATCTAACACTTAATTATTATAAAAAAAATTACAAGGAAATGTGTTGAGCTAGAAGGGAGAATCAAAAATCAAATCTTGGGAGTTGGAGGGTTAATTTAACCCTTTAACTCCCAGATCAAATTTGTAATTCTTTTTAGTGTCAACCATACAATTCTTATAATGTTAGTTCTAAGAATTTAGTACTGGATCAACTAATTATCCCCAAACTAATATTTTTCTTTATTCTCATCACTTACCTGGTTGATATTGTATTGATCTTGTAAGGAGAAATTCTGTCTTGGTCACTTGTGGGAGTTGAAGGGTTTAAAAAATGAGTGGAAGCTCTCAAGAGGTTCCCTCTAAATTCAAAGAAGGTGTCCCTAACTGAAATTGGCTTTTTAGTTGTCTGGTGTTTTGATGGCCTAAAATTATTAAGTCATGGCCAGAAATGTAATTTTTGTTACTGGTGTAGATAATGAATTTATACTGAAATGGAAAAAGGAAAGGGAAAAGGACTCTTTGCTGACCACACCTCTTTTCTTTGAAATGAGCTGCATGGCTGGCAGTAGTTTACAATTGGGGATTCAAGTGACACTGTTAGGCTTAACCCTTTAAGTCTCACCAGTGACCTAGACAGAATTTCTCCTTACACCATCAGTATAATATCAAGCAGGCAATTAATGAGAATAAAGAAAAATATCAATAAGGGGATTATTGGTTGATCCAGTTCCAAATTCTCCAAATTAACATTGCATGAACTGTAAGACAGACAGTAAGGAGAATTACTAATGAAATCATGGGAGTTAAAGGGTTAATACTCACACAATCAAGAAGAAAAAGTATGATTTCTTTAACTGTAAGGATGAATGCTGTGATATGTAAACGCTCCCCTTGCGTTAATCAGAACATAACAGCATGCCACATGACTAGGAAACTCAGGTTACCATATTATGGTTGTCAAAATTGTCCTTTTCTGAGCACAGAAACCAATTTGAAAACAGGTTGCAGCAGCTTGGAGTAGTAACTAAAGCTGTATACTTTTGGGAGCTTGTTTAGTGGAGTGGTGTTTGAAATTTAACCAGATTTATATGACTACAAAATAAACATCAAAGTACTAAACTGGATAAAGCACTAACATTCCCCTCCCTCTCCCCCTCATATTGGGATTCAGACTCAATATTTTATGCCATGAGCAATGGTTTGCTACAAGTGGAAAGAAGTAACAGCTAAAGATTAAACTTTTTGAGGTCTTTTCCCTTTTTAATATTTTCTTGGTATGTTTTATAGAAAGAGGATATTTATCCTGGGTCCATCTCATCATATGTACCTGCCTGGCTGTGCAGTAACAAGTTTATCACAGTATGAAACTCCATTGTACAATCTTTCAATTGACACAGAGGGTAAGAGCAGTTTTCTTTGAAATATCACTTTTGAGAAACTGTTTTAGTTAATCTACCAGCTTGATTAATTTATGTGTCTTCAGTTATAGTTAATTTAAGCAAAAGCCAAGGTTTCCATGGCAACAGAGTGAATTGAACAAATCAAGAGTGGTTAAAGCCTCTGCTATGACAAATGATGTTGTCGATAAGAGTACAGACCACACAAAACCACCATTGATTTGTTTTTTAACAACAATATTAATTTTAAAGCTGATTCTTTTAGTGGGTGACCATTGCATGAAACATTGATGCCTGTAGTGTGGTTTGTATATATTTTGATCAACAATGTCAAATTGGCCAATGTGATTAGGACATCACTGCCAATTGTGGTAAAAATCAATGTTTTAAATTTCTTTTTCAGTAAATAGAGAACTATTGGCAACAGGAGAGTTTGAGAAGCTTAGTCAAGCTGATGATGAAAGAGAACACAGTATCGAGCTTCATTTGCCTTATATTGCCAAAGTTATGGAGAGGTGTGAACATCAAGCAAATTATTACACTCTACTAATTGCATCTTTTGTTCAAAGTTCTAAGGCCTATTATCAGGGTGGTGATCCTTCATAGTGGCTGCAATGTGATTTGTTTTAATTTAGCTTCGTGAATTTGATTTGACATCAACTCAACACCCAACAACTGATTGCATAAATACATAAAAGCCTCCATTTGGCACAAAAATATACTTGGATATTTGTCCACAGAAATAATCTGGTCTGAGAAGCTTGCTCTGAGAAAACTTTTCCCTTCTCAGAGCAAATCATGTTTGCAGACAAATACTCAGGCATATTTTGGTGTCAAATGGAGGCTACTGTGGTTATTATCCTCTAAACATTTTGCAGTGTGTAGACAAAATGTTTACAAACAGTGTACTATTTACTGTACAATGACATTTCGTTTTTAGTGTTCTTTGGTACAATTTTATAAACATAGAAATATATCATATTGGCTTGAAAACTGGATAATATTACTGGATACTTTCCAGTTTAGGTGGGAAGTTTTTGGTTGCATGACACATTTAGACCAATCACATGCGAGCAAAAATATTTGATGGAATGGATTATAAGTATGTATATTCACATTATCTGTTTGCTACAAGAGTGCATCTCAATTGGGTGTCATCAAACCAAATGCAAAGTTATCACTGCCACTAGCCAATCAGAGCAAAGTAAAACATAACAATGTGCCAAAATAAATTCTCAATAAAACCAAGAAAATTGCTCATAATGTGGAAAAATGTAAGTAGCCAAGTGGCAATCATTTTTAGATTTGAATCTGATTATTCCAGAAAGCAGGACAACTTTTCGAGATCAATCACATTGCAAAATTAAGCAAAGATAAAGGAATCAGAGGTTACTTTTGATGGTGAATTGAAAATTTCTTTGATATATGGGGATTATGAGGAAAATCACTTTTTAAAATATCTTGAGATGTTAAATGGTTTTAAGAATATTGTTCTTTTGCTGACAGTAAGAAGGACCAATTTAAGATTGTTCCAATTGTGGTTGGTTCATTATCAACAAGGAGTGAAGTCACATATGGCCGGCTTCTTAGCAAGTATCTGGTCAGACCAGAGAATTTGTTTATCATCTCTTCAGACTTCTGTCACTGGGGTTAGTACACTGAATATAATTTTTCAAATGTTAATAAAAATCAGTGATTAAGAGTTGTTCATAAAGCATCACATACAATACTTTAATGTGTTGATAAGAATTCTTATGAAAAGCTAAGTGAATGATGATTCAGGAAAAAGAAAACATACACAAATGTGCTGACTGAATCTAACTTGAAATTTAACCCTTTAACTCCAAAGATCTGATTATTAATTCTCCCCTCTAGCTGCTACACTTATCCTTGTAAATTAGGCACAAGAATTTGGTTTTAGATCAGGACAACAACTTTGACTTAGCAAGTTTAAGTATTCTTAGTACCTGTTTGGTGGATAACATATGGATGTTATATAGAGAGGTTACATGTTGATCACTTCTGGAAGTTAAAGGGTGAAGGAAAAAAGTCTAGAATACTTCTGCAGCAAATTGTTGCTATCCTCACCATAAAGAAGATGTGTGCTTTCCATAAATTGATCATGAACTTGAGATCAAGAAAATCATCAAATTAGAATTTATAACATTTTGGAAGATTCTTTGTAGTTAAAGTGGCCGGTAATACTTAACATGAATTTCCCAGTCTGGCTGAGCAAGCTGTAACAAATTTGCACAATCTATGTGTGGTTTGGGGAATGACGGTAATAGTTACAATGATGATAATAATGATTATAACCAAAACAATAGAAAGCTGGGATTATTACCTTCCCAAGTTAGCCTGAAGGAGTTAAACTGGTAAGAGTGATCTTTCAAGACAGTAATGGCAACTGACTGTAGGATACCCTTGGCCATGTACAGTGTACATGACTTTTTAATGCTTTTTTTCTTTCAGGATCTCGATTTAGTTACACAGTTTATGACAAAAGTTGTGGTCCCATTTATAAATCTATTGAAGCTCTAGATAGAAAGGTAATCTACAAATTAAATGTAAAGATCACAATTTTTTATATGGAATTATCATTATCATTAACTAGATGCCTTGTCTACTGAGCTGCAGAAAGTTTGTTGACAAGCTAGGCTGCTCTGCATGATTTATATGTGACACATGTGGCAAATTACCACATTTCCTCAAATAAGCGCTTAGGTGCTTATTTAAAATTTTGTCTAGAAGGGGGGGGGGGTAGAAGAAGGGCACTTTAAGTTAAAACTTACAAGGTTTTAAATAGCAGTAGCAGTAGAAGCAGGTTTTTTCCTTGTATCCCTGTTATTAAGAAAGTGAGGGAGAAAGGGGGGAGCATCTATTTGGCCTCTGGGGGTGGGTGCTTATCAGGCAAAGGGCCCTTGTTAGAGAGTGGGTGCTTAATCAAGGAAATATGGTAATCGCTCTTTTTTTCTTAAAGTAGGAGGGAAACAAAATGTTTGCCTGTCAATTCAATGAAAGCACGGAGGTTTTATTATTTATTCTTTCAGACATTAAGACAGCTAAGATTAATTGCTGTGCAACATTGTTGTATCCAAATTTTAGGGTATGGATGCCATAGAAAAGCTTGACCCTGCCTGTTTTGCAGAATATTTGAAGAATTCCAAAAACACAATATGTGGTAGACACCCCATAGGTGTCCTACTCAATGTAAGTATTACAATAAAACCTCAAGTATCCAGACCTTGATTTTCTAGATTTTTCTTGATTATCAGGACTTGTTTCTTTGGTCCCATATTGTTTGTGAATTTTAATTAATCGCATTTGAGATCTGTAACAACTTTTTTCCATGCATGTGTAGCAAAACTACCATTGGAACTGAATTTGTTCCACTTCCAGAAGTGTTTTAGGAAGTGTTAACATACTTTAGGTGGAAAGACAAACCAATGTTGACACCATCCCATGCAGCTTTGCTATTCAACTCAGTCCCTAGGAGTCTGGATGATTGAGGTTTTGATTTTGCAAAGCATTTAGATTCAAGCTTTTTTAAATATCAGCCCCCAGAGCCTCTGGAGAACACTACATAGCTTGCACCTCCTTTACCCTTAGATATGCCCTTAATATCTTCCAAATCAACCCTTACTAATCCAGATTAAGAATCTCTGCTATTCAGTAAGTTAAGAAAACCTGACATAAAGCACCACAAAATGCTAAAATCCCTCTGAATTGTGAAACATTTATAAAATATCTTAAAACCAGTGTTGATAGATAATAACTTGATCTTTGCCTCTTACTCATTACAGGCAGTAGAGGTCATGAAACAAATGAATGGTGTAACCCATCCATGGGCATTGGAATTCATTCACTACTCACAGTCTAATGCATGTTTTCGCATGGATGAGAGTTCTGTCAGCTACGCTGCTGGTGTGCTGCATCAAAAAGCACATTGACATTAGTGACAAGAGTACAGTGAAAAATCTAGCTTCTTTGTAAAATATTCCTTTTATTTTTCTCCTTAATCTAGAAAGCTTTCTCTTTTACAGCAGTTTCTTGCTCAGAACAGGCAATGATATCAGTGTTCAGGACAAGCAAATATATCAGTGTTCAGGAGGAAGATGTTGTGACATTCTTTGGTACTCTAATAAGAGCCCTTTCTTTGCCGAGGCCTGGTCTTGAAATGTTTTAGCATCAAACTTTCCCAGCTCTTATTTCTATTGTTAAGAGCCCAGGAGTGGGTGAACAAACAAGTATCTTGTTCACGCCATTATGTATAATATCTGTTACAATAGTAACTCATGTCTGGAGCTTCATATTTAGCTTCCTGAGTAAAGTAGACTGAATCCAGTGCTATCAGGGTTTTACAGTGATTTTTTGTTGAGTGAGGCACTGCGGAAGTTTGGCAGGCATGTTTTGATGTTAAAATCTTGTTGTTCATATGAGTGACTAGCTTGGTTTCCAGTGGCAACCATGACTTTTTTTGGTGGTCTTCCAATTTTAAAGATCGATGACAAAGGACTTTTGAGATTCTGTTACCACTCAGAAGGAGAAAGGTTGCCTGTGACAACACCCTTATTTTATGGTCAAAACTTTTTCTATGCCTCAACTGATAATTGTAGTACCAACTGTTGGTGCCAAAATGTCACATATTCCAATTCCTGAACATGATCAAGACTGTGAAGAACTGCATTTGCTGCATTTCCCGTTTTCATATATAGTTCCTTAAATAAGCAAAATTATTTTTTCTCGGCTTCCTTGTTTATATCTTACTGTGCTCTTCTGCTTTGACCAAATGTTGTAAAAGGTTGTTGAAAAAGTTAATTGAAAGAATTGAAAGAGCTATAGGGAAAAAAGTTATTTTCTTGACCATTATCAAAGAAATTTTTGCACTACTGACTTCTTGGAAGTCTTAGTATTTTTGCAACTTTGCTATACTTGATTTTTGGTCATTTTTGGGTACCTAATATTTTCCTTGGTTTCCAGAATACTGCTCAGTTCTTTGTTGTCAAGACAGCATCCCATTGGATTTCACAACTGATTAGAGTGTAGTGGTTAGAACTGGTTCCTAATGCGTGATCTTATTGATATGGCCAACATTTTTCAATAAAACCAGCTCTGACGAAGGGATAACATTAAAAATGTCAGCTTTAGATAATCTTTACAGTGGCTAATTTACATTATCAAATCAGTTGACAAAGCCAAATTATCTCATAATAAGACTGGATTGAGGAGATGACTGACACAGGATAATAAATAACTTTCAAGTCATTCTAGAAAGTACTCTGCTTTATGCAATTCACCTCAGGTAAAAGAAGGAAATATGTGGTGCACAATAATGGCTGAAAATCAACCAAGATTTTGCTTAAAGAGAATTTGTTTGGGTATTTATGCACATGGAAATAAAGAGCTTCAGAGTTATATGATGTGTATCATGCATGACTGTGTGTACCCTTTCCGAAATAATCCCTTCGTCCAGTGGATGAAAGAAATTTATGGAGTTTTCGTTTCAATATTTGACAAACATGGTTCATTCTCAATGTGTGGCAGACCTTCACAGCACTTCCCAAAGTTTGGTAGGCTTTTTATACTCACATTTTTATTTGATCAGATATCTCTAATTACAACAAAACAACATTAATCTTATGCTTGTTAATAATTACATTTGGGAACTGCAACTTTCACTCAGCACACTCTCAAGGTGAATCCCAGCCAGAAAGGTCATTCCCGGAAAGATACACAAGGATTTAAAAGTTATTTCCAGGCAGGAAAATTTTTCATGAACACACAAAATGAGAATTTCTAAGTTGAATTATCACATTCCATGAATGTCCTTTCATTAGGTTTGTAACTTAGTTATCAGATGCACAATTGATAACTTCGGTCTCCCAAACAAAAAATCCATTCTGTCAATTTGTTTCTTTAGCTGTCATTTAGTTCAGACCAGTTCCTTGATGATTATTTACTTTTAAATCTCCAAGGAATTCAATGGCAAAAGCATCACAGAATCTTAAAATAAGGATAAACTGATCAGACCTTAATTTTCTTGTACACTATGCCAAGCTGGAACTTTTGATAGAGACACAATGTTCCTGAGTTTCCGCATAACTTTGTTGACTATTTTACTGGCTAGTTTTACCATGAACGTACACAGTTTGACCAAAATTGATTTCAAAATGATAACCTTTCATCACTGGTGCAAACCCAACATCCAAATTGATAATACATATTCAATTTAGTGGAACTAAACTTGTGGTTTTAGTAACGTAAATGATTGTAAAACACATAACTAGCTACCAAGGATAAAATTCTACTTTAAGTATGTAGGAACTTTGCATAAGATAGCATGTTTCACAAATTACAAAATGATTTGAATGAATTTTTCTTTTAATAGTACCAAACTCCTTATAAAACTATGCATCCTACCCTTACAGAAACAATTCTTCAATACACAAAAAAATCTACCAAGACTCTTACCGCAGACTGTTAATGATCATGATGGATGCTCTGGGAATTCAAGATATTCATATAAATAAAGTTGAATTATATTTTGCAAAAGTCTTCTTAAACAAGTGTGACCTGAATCAACACTCTATAAATTCAACAATACTTTATTTTTTATTTGTGATACAGCAAATTCTATTGTACACACCTAACCAGTGTTATCAATTAACATACAATGCTTTGGTACCAGTTTGCTCTTTAGTAAATCCAAAACTACATCGGAGTTTCAAAAAAAAACAAAACAAAAAAAAACAAAACCAAAAGGATTATTAAATTGAAGCAATAATAGAAAGAAAAGATAATCTGAAATTTTGCATCTAATATATGCTGCACCATAATGTCATGATGTAAGATTGCAGTGACCATCAACATTTTAATCATCGGGACTCCCACTTATAGACCCTTTCCCATGATGAAAAGTCTGCGTAATTTGAAAGTTGAAAAGATGTATAAAATGGGAGAGGTTCTTATCATTATTTTTCAGAAGTATTAAGTAACTCAAACCAAGTGGTTTGCATCCAATGTTTTTTTTTTTGTTTTTGTGACTATTTACTAACAACATCCTCCACCACTGGACTTGACTGGTGTACTAGAATTGATTTTGACATTACTAGTTCCAGGTTGAGCCGGTGCTGGGCCCATTCGATTCTTTATTTCTGCAGCCATTGTCATAAAGGCTTGCTCAACATTTGTTGCATTCTTTGCACTTGTTTCCAAGAAAGGAATCGCAAGCGAGTCTGCATATTCCTGTAGAGTAAAAAGGAACAGACACAATTTACATCAACAACCCACAGTCTACATTCTCTCTTAGTGTATAGGAAAGCTTGTTTTTCTAAAAATTTGTCAAAAGCATTCAGACTTCCCTCCTCAAAGCTAAAGACATTGAAACTAACACAGTGACTACTGCTATGTTCACACGAGTCAACCTTTGCCTTCATCTCTATATGATTGCAACAGTTTTGACAAGACTCCTCTGATCCAAGAGACTTTTTTTAGCGAGGAAAACAAGCTGAAATATTGAAGGGTAACCAACAGTCATAGACTTTTGGAAACTTCAACACAAAATACAATGCTTATCCAGAATAATAAAGAATCTGCTATCTTAACAACTCTTCTCACCGCACTTTTAGTGTCACTGTTTAAGCAACAGTTTTAGTCCTGAAAACCAAGGAAGCAACAAATAGAGGTAGAACCAGAGTCTCTTATATTGACTATAACCTGATAGCCACTGGTCTGAACGTTATATTAAAACTTGAAAGAGCAATGCAGGAGGGGAGCATGCAAAGAAAGCAGCATTCTAAATTGACTTAAGGGGGAACTTCCTCTTTGCCTATAGTTAGACTTTTCAGAATTTTACAATGATACCTTTGCAGTTGTGTAGTCCACTACTTTCTTTGTTGTGAGATCACACTTGTTCCCAACGAGTAGTTTATTTACATTTTCACAAGCATATCGGTCAATTTCTTGTAGCCACTGCTTGACATTGTTAAAGGACTCCTGCAATACGACAAGACAAAATATCAAAAATTCATACAGAAAGCAAACAGATAAATCAATCACAATAAACAATAGCCTTGAGTAGTAATGAGAACACTAATCTTTAAAGACTACACTACTCTTTAAAGACTCTTTAAAGGTCTTCATGCCATATAGATCTTTTGACCTTATCAAAGTTTAACGGTTTTCATGGGTAGGTAAACATGTCAGAAATGACAAAGCATGTATCAAGACTCTTGTGTCGAATAATTATGAAAAACTTTCTGCCCACACAAATTTATCAACTGCAAGCTTCTGTTGCCTAACAAAGGTGACTCTCTCGAAAGCAATACACCTTATTGTTCTAGTTTTTTTCAGTTTTATTTTGATCTTTCCACACATTTTTCATATTTCCTCTCATAATCAACATTTCAGACCAGTGTGGATTTGAATGCTCTTCTAAACACCTGTTAGTCCAGAGATAGTTTGCTTTTATTTATTAATTGAGTTGATAATGTAAATTGGCCACAATAAACAAAAATCCTATAGCTGATGTTTCAAGCAGACAAAGGGCTGATGCTGATGCTTGGTGCAAGGTTGTTCTCAAATGTTGGTCTGTAAAAACTTTAAGTAACAACTGAAGCTTCAAATCATTGATGCGTCTTAGTTACAGGTTTTCAAAAGTCATTTGACATTTGAGTTGGATGTTACCATAGTTATTTGCATCAATTCTGCCCATCCAAGAAGATGATGCCCCAAAAAAACTAACCAATTCCCATCTAGAAATCAAATGGTTGGTCTTTTTCAGTAACTGAAATTATTGCACAAGTATTGGTGTTCCTTCTAACAGATGTGTAAGTTAATTCAAACCAAAAAATGTTTGCAAACAAAGTGGTCTGACAATAAAAGGAATTAGATTAAAAGCTGCAGACAAAGCTAATTATAAAATTCATTGAGAACCACAAACCACTGGAAAGCTATTTACATTTTCAAAATAACTTTTCCTTGATTTTAAACAGCTGATGGCTAAAAGCTTTATTGTGTTTTACTACCGAAAGGACTTGGTAAACTGAGTAGGCAAATGTCCCTTTTCTAAATCCAAATACCATGCTATACTGCAGTTCACAGGGATATTGCAGAAACTTGGAATTTTGATAAAATGACTCAGCAAGTGTAAACGCCAACGACATTTTGCCGTAACTTTTCGTGAATGTGTACATATTTGCGGCTGCAAATCCCGTACAAACCAAAGTTCAATACCTCTGAACAATGTGTTAGATCTTACAGACAAGAAACAATAAGTCAAGTGTACATTGTTCAACTTTAGAAAGTCATTAAGAGCAATACATTTGTCAACCTACCTGGTCTGTAACATCATAAACGACTATAATCCCGTGAGCTCCGCGGTAGTAGCTAGATGTGATGGTTCGGAATCTCTCTTGGCCTGCCGTATCCCACTACAGAAACAAATTCAATCATATTCAATTTAGCTGTATGAAAATATCGCCATTAACTCTTGATCAAAGTACACTGCGTTTTGAACGACGTAATGGCCACACTTTCGTGATTCTCTAGCCAATCGATGTGTTCAAAATTCGTATTTATTTCAAAGTTAATAAATCTAATGCAGAGCAAGTAAAATTTGGTGTGTACTTACAATTTGCAGCTTTATTGTCTTGCCGTCCAATTCTATGGTTCGTATTTTCTAAATGTGGACAAAAATAAAACAATGAAAGCAAAATGAATCATTACGTATCCATCTTAAGCCATCCGCGGTGGCTAGCTGTAGTTAATCGATAAAATAACAGCTAAACATTGGCTCATAAAACTTACGAAGTCGACGCCAATTGTACTGATGTAGCTTTCCGTGTAAGTGTCATCCTGTTGAGGTGGGTTAAATAAGAGAGGTTAACACCGATTCGGCTAAAAAGCAGCACCGGTGGCCGGCGAGATACTGATGATGATCGAAATTCAACATATTAGGCAATACGTCTAGTAAAAAGAACATGAAAATGCGAATACCAACCGCGAACCGGAGTAACAAGCATGATTTTCCGACACCAGAGTCTCCGATAAGTAGAAGCTTGAACAAGTAATCACTGTGGACAAAACAGAGCAGAAATACGTTCCGTAAGAGAAAAATTCCAAATGACACGTAGAATCATCCGTGGTTAAACTCGAAACCCTGCCAGAGGGAAACTGCGAAGATAGCACAATCTACACCTACTATTCGGGATTCATTGTGGACATGTTAGGCTGTCTCGCTCCCAGTTGATTTGGTCGTTGATTTAGCTTCGTGTCAAGCTAAACTTTAAATGAAATGATGTTCAAATACCGGCAATTTATCTTGCTTTTTTGGTGAAAGAGGAAGCGAGCCACTAAGCTCAGCTTGGCGTGGTGCTAACAATAATCCTTAGAGGGGGATGAACGAATTGCCCTCCTCCATGACGTCATGATGTTGTAAGACGACGTGGCAAGTTCACTCGTGGAATTCTCGTATGTTGTTCGGAACACGTCGGCTTATCTGACGACTTTCCCTCACGGAAGGGAATTTTTTAAGCCTTACGTAACTTTCAGTTCGGTTATTTTTTGAATTTGAAAAAGCAGTCCTCAAATTTTTTCAATTCTCCTTTTTTGTTTTAGCGAAATTTGGTAAAGAGAGCTGGCATGGCGGGATAAGATATCAACAATTTCCCAAGTACCCATTACACATTGTACGTTAATTGATCACAATCAGAAGCTTGCGTCTCGATAAAACAAAATATGCTTCATTGTCGCCAAATTCTGTCACAATATCGGGAAGGACAAAAGATTTTGTCATTTCCTCTCTGAAAAATTCTTCTAATTTTTTTATTTATTAACCAGTTGCTAATTTATGCCTTTCCGAATCATGCGTATAAAATATGCTCACTCTTTGTCATTAAAAGGCCTTCTCCCGTGAGACGGCAGCCTTGAAATTTGCAAAATTTGTAAGTCTTGTATGAAGGCTTTATGTCTTATGGCGATGAGGATCAAAGTATTATCGATATTTGATGATGTATTGTAACGTACTGTTAAAAGTTATGTTATATCAAGGTCCATGGTTTGCATCACGCGATAAAAGGAAGGCCGAACAAAATAAAACTTTATTGTAGAGGGTCTGAGATATAGCATGCGTTCCTAATAAGCAAGAAACCCTGCATCGTTCTTTAGTGCCACTCCTCCTCATGGAAAACTAAATTAATTTAAAGTCATTTGATAGAAATATAAATCTGCAATGTTTGTTTGTCGGTTTGACGCCATTATCTCCCGCTCGGAATGTTAGGAGAATTAACACTCCAATGGCTTCTGAAATCACGAGTATTTGGCTTGTGATTACAAATTTCTCTCGTGTTCTTCTCAGTCCCAAGTCACGTGGATTACAAAAGCATTTAAAGCGATGGAAAATGCGTTCAATGGCTTACGTATTTTATCAGTCACCTCTCTGAGTCACTGGGGACGATGCAATTATTCTTCAACTGAGTTAGTAAATTCATTTTGGATGTGCAAAAGAAACTAGATCAAAGGTCGATTAACACTTTCAAAATTAGAATGATTTGCCGCAGATAATTTAGAATTGATAGTAAGTCATGGACAGTCTTCCTGATATATCATCGAAACGGAAATACCCCACTGTGATTACATTCGAAATATACTCTCTTGTTTGCTTTATTACCAGAGAGATTGAAAGTTATTTCGCTTCAGTTCCCTACAATAATTAGCCCTCAAAATCTACTCGTATCACAATAGTGCGCTCTGGTTCTAAAAAGAACTGAAATATTCGAAATATTTCGAACGTACGAAGTCAAAAGTTTCATAAGTAAAGATATCAATCAAAAGTACAACGAAGAATTTGCTCATCAAAATGGAATAAATACGCTGACGCACAAATTTTTTTTTCCCGTAAATGTATATACGCGCAAAGGCTATTGTCGAGTAACTTTTTCGCATTAACCTTTGACACCCTCTCATCAATACGTGTATTCTCCGTACTGCTCTCTATTCATTTCCTATAGTACTGACTTGGAGAAATTGTTTGACAATGACGATCTTCTTCAGTTGGTGATCGATTTCCTTATCCTCACGACCTTAGTGTTTGATTCAGCAGTAATGCTGTAATGAGAATTTAGATCCCAGTCACTAAAGGGTTTAACATTAACCAAATTTACCGGAGGGGTATGAACATGGTTATTTGTAAAGCGGTGCCTAAATATAGAGACACGAGTAACAGATGCACAGTTCCACTCCCTAATCCAGAGTGCTGTCCTGCTCGCAGAGTCGAAGCTTTCTCTCACTCAGTCAACTTTTTCACCAGCGCCTCTGCCTCGCTAACCGCACTGCCGTCGACAATGTACCTGTCGACGAACGAATCATCAAAGCAGCTCGTTAAGAAGATCCTTGAAGGTTCCTCCTCCACTCTGTGGACCCTGAACACCTCATATGGTGGAAGCAGTACTTCATCCTCCTCGGGAAAAGCCGAAAGCATCTTAATGGAAGCTCCTATCCTAGTGACAATGACAAACTGACTTCCGTTCGATTTTTTCTGGAAGTCCTCTGCTACTTTGATATTACCGGTGGATGAGGTGTAAGAGCCAAATCGTACTATTTGACCAGGTTTTGCGGTAAATCGTATGTTGACACCGCGGTAAACGATTCTTGTGCGACTTTCTTTGGGCGTGGCCGCGAGAATTTTCCGGCAAGCCTCTCGGAGAAGGTACGATAGAATTGGGAAATCCATGCCATCGCCTGTGTAACCTCTCCTGGTGTCGCTGTTGAAATAGCGATACACAGGTGGATTCTCCAACGTGTAACAAATGACAGCGAAAATCTCGTCATCTGTCAGACCAGCGCGGCCAGAATTGATTTCAAGTGTTTCTTTCATTTGAGGCCATTTCTTCATGGCTTCTTCATATCCAGCGTGAATAAGAGCGTTCTTTTTACCCTCGTATGCCAATCCCCTCCTCATCATCGTCACCATGATTTCACCGGGAAAGGACACAGCGAAGCTGCTTTCTGCCAGCCCCATTTGTATAACGTTCGCAAAGGTGGAGAACCTGTTATATTCAGTCTCTGAAACTGCGGCTGGATGTATCACTTTCAGAGGAAAGAACCCTTCCGGCGGGATGTGGACGAAGGGATTCGTTTCAGTGCCTAAGTTAATCTGTACCCTCTCTCCTCTCATGAGGGACAAGCATGGATAGACAGCCCCCTCGAACGTTACTCCTGAAAAGGCGCAGCCCATTTCTCCTTCCCAATCACCGTTCAAACCGAAGCTAACCTCTCCGTCTTCCAAATTGACAGCCATGCAAATCACATCACCAGCCTTCCACCGTCGGCCATATTGTTTTTTCTTATTATTGTGCCACTTCAAACCCCTCATTCCGTCGTAGGCCCACGAATGCTGATCATCCCCACAGCCTTTGCCTTCGTCAGCTACGGCCGTAAAGCTTTCGTCTGCCCACCCAAGCTGCATGTAGCCGCCTGTATTTGTTTTGCATTCAAAATAAAACTTTCCTTGTGTTTGCCGAAGTGGTTTCAGCACTACAGTCGGAGCGGCGCGCTGCGCAAAGATTTCTATCGGCGGGCCCTCCAGAATGACGGCTGCCTCTTGGTAGCTATCAGCTCCTTCGACTGTTGCCAAAGCTTTGTAGTCCATATCCATGGTTCAGCCACTGTCTTTCTATATCACTAAGTTGAATGCTGCCAAAAGACTATTTCCACTTATCGCTCTATTGAAAGTTTGATGTTGTACGGAGCTCAATATTGAGTGCTCGTAACTTTTGCGTGCATTATTTCACGCGCTTAACTATATAGGCAAAGGCCGTTTGCTCGATTTTCCCCGTAATTAGGAAGACTTTGTCTCTTCAGCGTATTCACGAGAACTCGGCGCGCCATTTATTTTTCCCTTATTTTGATACATACTCAGTATACCCTTCGATCCTTTGTTTTGGTATCTACGAGTCGCTAGTTATTCCCTTCGCGATTATAGGAAACGACGCGTAGCTAATCTGGTAATTGATGCATCTTTATTCATATATTTAAATTACAATTAAAATATTTTATCTTCTGTTAACAGTCAGTTATGTGCATACTTTAGTGGGGTTTATTTATGGTCACGACATTCTCCGGAACGGTTGAAAAAAAAACCCACTAAAATGATGAAAATTATTATTATTTGCTCTTTATCATGCAAAATAGTTTCATTTGTGACTACTGCTTCCTACCATGGAGGCGAAGCCACAAATGTTACCGAAATGAGTGAGTGAGTTACGGAGTCCTGGATGGTAAAGTAACAGTGGAAAGCAGAACTTCACCCGATTTTGACCCATGTCACTTAATGTTTATTTCGGAGTATCCTCTTAGATCGACATTCGCACTGGAGATCGTTAGGCGCATACTAAAGAAAGAAGAATGCCTTCGAAACAAATTATTTTGTGTCGAAGACAAAACAAGATGACATCTTGTCAGTTCTTGCCGTGACACTGCAGAATACGATAAACATCTCACTATCATTTCAGGATGGTGCGTGATTTAAGACAACATTTCCATGCAGGAATATCTGAAAAGGGGCGGTCAGCGCATCATGTTAAATTTTTTTGAAAATTTATTTCTTTGAAGAATAATTTCGGCGCGTAATTTAAAACAAACCTGCGAGGATCTCTTAAATTTGTTTCTTCACCGCAGTGCAAATATATGAATTTCATATATCTGAAATCATTAAAACAAACCTTTTCACTTGCAGTAATATCTACAAAGGTGTGATCTGCACATCGTGAAACCTTTGAGGGAAAATTTTTCTTTTTCGAAGAGAGAGCACTTTGCCATATTTGAACCAGCGACTATTATTGCCCAAAAGAGGCGCTAAATAGGTCCGAAGTACCATACCTCGAGTATATTCGATGGAATGATGGAACGGTGGAATGGCGGAATGACGGAATATCATAACGCACAATGCCTTGTTGTATGAAACAAACGTCCCACAAAAATTGAATTGCAATGAATTAAGAAAGTAATTTATGATGAAAAGGGAAAATTAAAGAAAGGGTAGTTTAATCATTCTTGGGGGGGGGGGAGGTCTGCGGTAAACTCGCCACCACAACAACTAACGCCACTACCACTGAGAATCAACTCGCCACCGGTGGTAAATTGAGTCGTTGCGTTAATCGTTGAAGGCTCTTTGTCTGCATTTCATCGTGTTTGTGCGCACTTGTTTATTCTGTGTTATTAAAAACAAAAATGATAAAATACAAGATGTAAGCTTTCATATGATGTAAGTTTCATTAGATTTGGTTTCGAATTTCGCCGGATGAACTCACATTAAATTCATCATTCGTTGTGCTTAACATAGAGAAAGGACGCTAAGCCCCTTTCTGTAAACTTTCGCCGTTTTTGTACGCGCCTAATTTTGCAATATACTACTACATATAAGCTTGTAAGTTTCATTCGATTTCATAAATATCGACCAATACCACTCAGCAAAATTCACTCTGGTTTCGCTACACGCAAACTGACCATGATCTTCGTGATATCAACATGTTTTATTTCATTTCATGCAATACTGAAATTCGCTATTCTTCTTGCATTTAACGGTTAACATTTCCTATATAATAGGATATATATATAATAGTCAATTCGTCACTGGCGGGGAGTTGACTCACCGTGGTGGTGGCGAATTTCATTATGGTGGCGAGTTGACCAGATACCTTATAAATTATCCTTATTATCAGTATTGTTAATGTGATATTTGTTGTTGGTTGAATATCAATTAGTCACTATATTCTTGAATTACCTTTCTCAGGTGGAACAGGATACTCATAAATATGTGGGGTATTCGGTTAGATCGCACCATGGTTAGATCGTTCCCAATTAGATCGCTCCGACCAAAAGTTGGATTGCTCCACTCGAAAGCTAGATCGCTCCATCAAATAAGTAACTTCGTTACCAACATGAGTTACTTCGCTCCATGCAAGTTGTAAAGCGAAGTATTACCAATGATCTTTTAAGTCTATAAGTGATGATGTTTCTTGCGACGATTCGAGTACATCGTATTCACTCTGTCCTTCAGATTAGTCACCGAGCTGCCGATGTATGATGTATAGCGATGATGGAATAAATGATCGTGGAATAAATTATAACGTTATAGTCTGAAGTGTATTGAAAAAGATCATTCAAATACCAATACTATCCAGTGTGGCCTTTTTTGCTGTTTGATGTGAGGAAACTGATATCCGCCATCTTCAATTAATAAGGTGGATTACACTTCGTGAGTCCCTTTCATGAGGCTTTATTTTTTCTTTCTGCGTAGCTCGAATTTATTTTAAGCGCGCGCGAGCGATATTAATCGATTGTTCGGTAAGATATGCACGTCATTCAATGAACTATCAATTTAGATACCTTAGTTTTGTTACCTTTACCTTAGTTTTCTACATGGAGCGAAGTAACTTATGCTGGGAGCGAAGTCACTTATTTGATGGAGCGATCTAACTTTCGAGTGGAGTGATCTAACTTTCGAGTGGAGCGATCTAACTTTTGGTTGAAGCGATCTAACTGGGAGCGATCTAACCGTAATTAATATGTGGGATGCGGCAAGTTTCTGTTTTAATTTTCATGCAAGACAAATATTCCGCAACACTACCTTCTAGCGTCATAACGCAACCTTTACTTCTTTTCAATGTTATAAAAATTACGCTACATCAGTTACCAAATGCAGTCTCACGCCTAATTTCTTCATTTGCCTTCGCTCGCGTAAAGCTTGATTAAATAGAGGCAGAGTAACGAACGATTTTCAGCTGTTTCGCAACAACCTCAGCGAAAGTGGGTGGTCTGGCTTCATCTGTGTTGGCTGCACAGAAAATTGAATCTGATTTCTCTTCAGTTCAAGTCTATTACTACAAAGATGAGGTATCTAACAAGAGATGTTTAAGCTTGGTCCTTTCGACTAAAGTCAAGGACAACATTTTTTGCAGATAACATTAACTGAATACAACTTTTATTGTGATACTTATTTACAGGAAAGAAAACTGCTAAAATTTCCATGATTTCTTCAACACGGTTTAAACTAAAGCATGGGCTGTATATCTATAAAAACGAACAGCAATGAAGAGTTTCCTTTGCCATCCAACTGTACAAAATTTTTATCGTTGATTGGATCTTCCCCGCTTGTCTAATCAATCTGTGGATTGTTCTTGAACAAATACTCAGCCTAAAATAAAAGTAAGAAAAAAAGAAAGAAAGATGTGTCATTGAGACAAAACAAAATAAATCCCCACGACCGATCAGATCAAAGGGAAATGTCGCGATTCATTGATTCATTTGGCATCTGATTGGTTAGGAATTTGACACGTGGTCCTTAATCACTGACTGATCACAAAGCGCAGAGAAGCAAAACCAATACAAGTTTGGAATACAAACTCAGTGACACTATATCTGGCTCAGAACTTACCAAGTAATCGACTGGATCATCAGGGCGCATTTTACAGCATTCTATGAGGCCTTGGGCCAGTGTCGGCATAACGTGCTTCATGAGATAGTTCCTCAGGGGAATGGACTGGTTTTCTAATAACTCCTGTTCCTGACGTTTCACTTCTGACAATTGGACACGCTAAAAAAAAATCCATTACTTAAAACTAAGTAATTCCGGGCTGTGGAGGAGTTTTTTAGAGGTACGATGCTAGTGTAAGCTCAACCACTGGCATATGCAGATGAACATTTTTCGAGTAGGCCGTCATTATGAGTCGGCTTCAATACAAGCGTGTCTTCGCACACGAATAAGTTTGAGGCCTTTAGTAACACGAGCCGGTATGAGGTCTGTAAGTGATATAGCACTGATACATTTTACTAGTGCCAGACTCCCGGTAGACCTCCCCTCGACTTGTCTTAAATCTACCGCGTTCGGTGTTACACTCGTCGTACAGCGATGGTAAAGAAGGCAAGCTCGCAAACTAGCAGACAAAGTAAGCGAAAACGAAAAGGTGGGAAGGCGACTTGTGTAATCATAATTAAATTCTCAACGCTGGAAGGAGCTTTGTTGTGCACGTGACTGGCAAATAACTATCTCCTTATGTTAGTTAAGCAAGGGTAACTTTCTCACTTGACTGACAACGACGTACATGTAAATGTTCCAGTCTTAAAGCTAAATACAAAAAAAAAACATCAACAACAGTTATAACTCGTACCCATTCTTCCTCCCGTCGTTGTCTCTCAGCCGCTTCTTCTGCATCTCGTTTTTCACGTTCTTCTCGTGCTTTTCGTTCTTTTTCAAGCTGTACGGACAAAAAAAAAAAGAAAAAGAGACTGAATTTTAACAATATTGTAAACTCCCCCTTGAAAAGACTGCAGTCCCACTCTAAAAATTCAACCACTGCATTAACATAAAGAGCGCAAAAGTACAACTGTTGCGAGAACATGTCAAGTGGTTGCCATAGTAATTGACAATACGTTCACCCTTTCTTCTCAATAGATTTAATTTCTCCAAAGGCGCTCAAAATGTGAACAACGTACCCGCTTCTCTGTTTCAATTCTTTCCATCTCTGCCAACTCTTCTGGTGTTGGACCTAAATAACAATAATAATAAAAACAATAATGCAATAAACATAAGGACAAATAAAGTAATGCTTCACTGTTGGTCTTGTGTAAACTCCTATGCAGTTTATATTTCTATGCTCACATAGTTACCTAAGCTTTTCACCCTTACATCAGTATGCATATTCTCCATACTGTTCACCGTACATTCCCTAAGGTGCTGATAAGGAGAATTTGTTTAACAATCAAGAACTTCGAATTCTTAGGTTGGTTATCATTTCCTTTATTCTCATGACCTTGATGTTTGATTCAGATGTGATATTGAAGAGAGGAATAAGATATTGGTCACTCTAAGGGGTCTCGAGTAAAACTACTGTTTCTCTCCCTGAATGGAATACTTATCCATCGCAAGTTACCCCCAGCCCCTCCTTCCCCAAAGGAAGTTTGTCACGCTTCAAAACAATTCACCGTCATCAAATTTCTGATTCCGAAAAAAATATTCTCCAAAGAGTTACTATTTTCTGATTTCTATCCTATATTTTTCATATAGGATGATTTCACAATTATGTTCTTACCGTAATTTCTTGGCGTTCCCATCAGCTTTTTGATCTGCTCCACTACTTTGGTCATTTTTCTTGTTTTATCCAGAGTTATGTCTAGCAAAGGATTAAGTTTTTGATGGTAAATGAGAGCGAAAAACTTATCTTCAGTACTGTACAACCGTTATTTATTCGTGTCCTATTCATTTTAGCAGTAATCAACTCCAGAAGGCATGTATTGTTTGAAACGTGTTGGCTAGCTGCATAGCTGACCAAATGCCTGTTAACTCTTGAACTTCAACGATCTGATTATCAATCCTCTAAACTTGCCTATACATTTCTTTTAAAATAAAAAAATAGAATTTAGTATCAGATCAAGAAATCAACCCTTTAATTCATATTTTTTTTCTACCGGATCCCCTCCACAAGAAATACATTGTACATCGATTGTAAATAGAACTTCACTTTATCATTTACGACGAGGTGAATACTGCACTTCTCAAGTTAAATATTTCAACATCTTTCCCCTGAGACCAAAATACTATGATCCACTCACCGATGTGGTCTGGGTGGATTTCCAATTCATCAAAATAATTCAATACTGTCTCGTCCTCGGTGTTTGTAGCGCGAAACTCAGCTAGTCGCCGCATCAAACCTTAAATTGCACAGGGAAAAACAAACCGTAAGAAAAAAAAAACAGTTGAAAACTCCTTACGGCAAACAGAAAGAAAACAAGAAAGTAAACAACTGCCTTGCACATTCCGCATAACAAATTCATTCGTTTACTAGATGACTTCGTAAAAGTTGAAAACAATGATTTTCGGGTCTCTTCTCTTGTTGCCACCTCATGTTAGAGCGCTTTTCGATTGTGTTGCATTATTAAAACCAAAGTTATCACAAAGGCCAACAGAAGAAAGGAAAGTGCCCTCAAGAGCCAATGAGAACTCAAAATAAAACCAACCAAACTTCCTAAAGCGCGGGAAAACGCGGGCGAACAAGTCGTGATTGGTTTTAATTTTGAATCTGATTGGTTGAGAGAGTGGCGCGAACTACCTCATTGGCGAATTTACCCCACAAATGAGCGCAACTGTGCAACAAAATTGCAACCTTACTACTATATAGCCAACGCGCACTTAGCTTTTTTTCTTAGCTGTTATTATCTCACCTTCCTCTGTATTGTGCGTACCGGCGACGACACTTTCAGGTAAGTTCATCACTCTGGTTTTTAAGAATTCGTCTGGGGCATCAAGTGAAACCACCACCTCTGCAAAGACGAAAAGAAAAAAAATCTCGCTCAGCATAAGACATCACTAACCAGGTAAAATTTGGTAAATAAACAGTTGTGCTGGTTTGCCTTTCTCCCCTGTCCTGCGAATGGGGTGGAAAAATTCCAGACCGTGGTCAGCATGGTAAAAAGCTGGACCAGTTACGAGCGCGAGATTAGCCAGTCAGATTTAAGGATTTAGGCTCCCTTCCCGCTGAGATGCTTTAATGACCGAGCCCAAATTTGGTATATTTCTTGATACATTTATGGCGCTCACTTTACCTGGCATTATGAGTTTGTCGTAACTGAGTGGTGAGTCCTCCTCGCCTTCTTCTCCTTCTTCAGCTGAAAAAAAAAACAGAAAAAGAATCAAATGTTGAGCGTTCTATAATTGACGAGTGCCGTAAAAAATAATACCCAAGTAGTCCAACGGTCAACCAGAATAAAGGGAAATGTCACAACGAGCCAATAGAAATTCCAAGTGACACCATATAAACTGAATGAAGTGCGGGAAAACGCTAGCGACGAAGACGTGTTTGGTCTCAGTCGTGCATTCGATTGGTTGAGAGGGTAGCACGGGATTTCTAGACCAATCACGGAGCATGGCTAGAAAATCCAATGCAATCACTCGGTTGAAAATTGCTCTGGCCAGCAAAGAACACCAGTTTACATAAAAATACAGTTATGGCTGAGAAAGTGGTTTGAAAAAGGTCTTGGGATGGTTGTGCGTAGACTTATCAATAACAAAAAAAGCTGAGGTAAGAAGCCAAAAGTAAAAGATATCTCCCTCACAATAACAGAGTTTTGGAAAGGTTTATTGGGAGTTCGCCAAATTACGTTGATTGCTCTTCTGGTACATTCAGTGATATAGAGAAATTTTGAATGACTGTTGCAACGCAGAAAATTGTTTTCACTCACAAGGAAATCAAGAAATCAAAATTTCCCGAGGAGGGCAAACAATCAAAAGAAAAAAACTTAAACGAAGGAGGATGATTTGAGATGAAGAATTAATACAAGCGCCTTGAAAGCATGGCATCAGCTCCTGAGAGGCACTTTTAGCTGCACTCTTAACTAACAACAAGTATTGCAGACATGAAGTGCTAAGACAAGATATATTTCCTAATTCAGGCTATACCTGCAAATAACTCTTTGGCTTGTTCATATGTTTTTGGGTATCCATCCAAGATAAAACCCTAGTTATAACAGAAAACGACATTAGCAGGTGATCAAAACAAGAAACAAATTAAAGCAAATGAAAGCAACAGTTGTCAGTGAAAACTGTAAGTAGGATACTATGAGGTGGGTAGAATTTATTATTTAACCACTTGGGAGCAATGTGAGTCTATCGGACTACATCTCTAACTTTTGTAAGGGAAGTTCGTGCCTCATAATGGACTAAAGGACTTAAATACCGCTAGACACACAATGTAATAAAACGAACCTGGTTTTGACAAGGCATGGAATGCAATTTGTCTTTGTAGAACCTGATTATATACTGATCTTCATAACGAGCTGAGCGGAAAGACGAAAAAAATGGAAATTAGTTTCATACAACAAACCAACGAAAAAAAAGGGAGAAGCTCTAAACAATGTTTTATTATGCACTCCTGAGCCATCATCCCAAGGAATTTTTTTCATTGCGTTCTCATAGCCTGCTAAAAGAGCGTCGTCTTCTTTCGTTTTGTTTGCGTTTTTCGTCGAGCAGAGGCAAGCACGAGGCGCGCGCAAAGGGCATGTCATGCGCGAGAGGACGACTGTTGACTCGCCTTTCGCACGCGCTTACTCCTTGACTAATCCCCGCCATTATGTCGAGTAGAATCAAGACGAGGCGCGCGCGCCGGACACGTCATGCATTGATCCCCACCATAAAGTGTCGAGCAAAGTCAAGCACGAAGGATGCGTCATGTGCGAGAGGACGACCGTTTGACTCGCATTTCGCACGTGCCTCGCGCACGCCTTCTTGACTTATCCCCGTCATTATTCGCTCTCCGCTTTTTCGCATTTCCACTAACCGAGAGTTTGACACATAAATTTAAGATTACTCGAAATGCACGATCGACGGCTAATATCTACTGAAGACTATAAAAATGCTGGATTTTATCATGTGTTCTCATACCACTATTTCTATCCTTGCTGTCCTGAAGAGTCTCAAGGAATTCTTGATCTTCTTGCGCCTTTAAATCGTCTTCATCATCTCCCTCGGCTTCAGCACGAGCAGCACTGCGTTGCTAAAAAAAATAGCACTACAAATTATTAATGTGTCTGATTTACATCGGTATCTTGGTTATCATCAGTCTTCTTGTAGTGTAACCACAACAGAGTTATATCACAAGATCTTCAGAAGGAGGTTTTGAACACTTTACAGTTGAAGTAAAGGCCAGGAATAACCTTTTTTTAGCCACATTACTAGGCTGTAGTGTGGAATGTTCTAAAAGAGATCTAAAGAACTCGTGGATATGCCCTTTATTAATACCTTATCGTTGTTATAATAAAAAAGGGTGGCAAAGTGTTTGTTTATACGCGACGCATGATTAAGCCCAAAATTAAAACGTGAAGTGGGAATTTTTCAGAAAGGCAAGATAAGGCAAGATTTCGCGACGCGTGAAATACAGATTAAAGTACACGTGACGTGTGTGACCTTCCCCCCCCATCCATTTGCTACCCTCCCAAAACGTGCTGTGAAAAGTTCAATTTCACACAAAAAATTACAATGTTACAGATGAACATATATGATTTCCATGAAGCCTTGACCTTACCAGTTTATCCACAGCTTCGTCAATCACATCTTGAATTTTGATGTGATGAAGTTTATAGTGTTCACAAAGCTGTTTGATAACCAGAGTTTTTCCTGATGCAGGGGGGCCAATGATGCATGCCCTGAGAGGCTAAAATGCAAGTTGAAATATAAGAGATTCAGCAAACTTTCCGATACAGCAATGATACAAATGACACTGAATTGTTAAAAAAAATGCAATGTTGGCTCTACAAATCCTTCTAGGAAGATAATAAATAATGGTAATAGGACTGAGTGGAGTCCAATTCTGTCTGTAACCATACAAGTGATTATTAAAAAAGACCCAGAGTTCAGCTCGCTAACCATTTGGACACTGTATCTCCTACATGAAAGTACTTACATGTAAATTAATTGTATATGTGCAAGAGACCTTACCAAAAGTCCCCTTGTTTCTTTATACTCTTTGATGACACCATCAATGTTCTCTGTAAGTCCAGTCTGTGGATTTAATAATTGGGAAATCTTAACACTTCTAAGTTCCTGGTAGTATATGTATGTTTCTACGTCTTTGTAAATGGTTGATCCATTGTTGTGTAATTCTGGCAGATTGCTTCTCTGTACATAGCTCTCTTAGCTAACTAAGAGCCACTCTACAGCCACCCCCCTACCCTCCAAAAGAAAATCAGAGGGGAGGGTAGGGGGATTTTGAGAGTTAACCCTTCAAATCTGTCATTCTCCTTACTGTCAAACATACAATTCTTATAATGTTAGTTCTAAGAATTTAGGATTGGATCAACTGATTCTCCCCAAATTAATATTTTTCTTTATTCTCATCACTTATCTGGTTGATATTGTATTGATATTGTAAGGAGAAATTCTGTCTTGATCACACATGGGAGTTAAAGGGTTAAGAGAAAAAAGAGTGAGAAGAAAAGATATTAAGACAAGAACCTTTACTAAAAACATCAAAGTTGCATACATGTGTAGTGACTGTGCTTCTCTTAATGGAAAGAGGAATACCAAATCAGCACTGGTATAATATTGTAAGGAGAAATTCTGTCTTGGTCACTCATGGAAGTTAGAGGCTTATAATGGTTACATGAATATTTCTTACTTCTGACACCCAGTTGATATTCATTCCCTCTTTTATGTAAGTGGCATCCATTCTCAGATTGACTAGGAGCAAGTCAAAGTCAGCTTGCTTCAAAAGGAAGGAAATTAAAATAATATTAATTAAATAATAATTACAAGCACTTAAATCAACAAAAAATTGTTCACAGTAGCAAAAAAAATTCATGTAAAAAAACGTGATTATAATACCTCAAGTTCTTTAATAAGAAGTGCTTCCTCCTTTGTGATATTCTTTACTTTTCCATTTCCAAGGTGTAAACTAACAGCCTGAAACAATGCATCAAACAATTTAAAAATAACTAACTACCATTAATTTTTCCTCTCTAAAGTCATATGATGATGAAAAAAATAAAAAAAAAAGTTATTATAATAACAATAACAAAAATGGCTCTTTTATCCACTTTTCCATGGTGAAATCAGAAAGTGGAATATTGGTTTTGAGAAGGGAAGGAGGGGGGAGGAGGTAACTAAGGGACCCCAGAGAAAAACCCTCAGAACAAGGACAAGGCCCATCAACAAACTCAACCTACCTCTGATGCCAAGTCTAAGAATGAAACCTTAATTCCAAGTTCCCATTTCCTCATTTCCTCAATCCTCATAGTAATTACTCAGAGGTCATATATGAACCAAAATGGAACAAAAAATGACTTGACAAAAAACTACGCAAACAATAGTTACCTTGACAATTTCTTCAAGAGTGTTCTTAGACTCATCCACTGCCACCAGATAGCGTACTTTGGGATTCTGATCACAAATATTCACAATTACTGCTGCCAGGTCTTTGATGTGGATGGTGGGTACAATATTTTGGCCATTGCCAAAACACTGCAATGCAGGTGCCTGACCATGCCATGCTGTTTTAAACAGAAAGTGAAAGATGTCCTCTCCTGATCCATATGTTAAACCTGCTGCCACAACGTAAGTGATAAACTTGGACTTGTTTGTTTTTCCATGTTTGATGACAAGCTTCTCTGCACTGATGTGGGATTTGAAGTTTGGATGGGCTCTCCTGCGGCGGTAGTCATCCTCCGTGAATGATATCTCTGGGTCATCCTGTGTGAATGCAAATGAAAAATTATTACTGAAAATTAACATATTGTCATTATTTCCTTCACGATTTTGCAAGAATATCATGGTCTCTAAGGTGAAAAACAAAACATCACAACCAAGAAATAGATTGTGTGGTCAATAGTCCATTTTACAGTTGTGTGCTTGGTTGCCAAGCCTTTGAACAGGAATGAGGCTAAGGGTGACCTTGTTATGATACAAACCTTGCTGCTTTTCAAATGCAAATTACTTTGTTATCATGCTAACTAGATACTAGTCTCTATCACAACAAGGTCACCTTCAGCCTCACTCCAAATCAAAGGCTTGGCAACTAAGTAAACAACTGTAAAATGGCCTATTAGTTAACAGTAAACTTTGAATTTGTACAATGAATATAGTAGTGCCAAGGGAAACAGTGAACTTCCTTTGGGTAGAGTGTACATTTTTTTTTAAGTTTGTACTTTGCTTGAAGGTTTCAATTAAATTGTAAAAGAATAAGAGCAAGACAACCATGAAAACTCACAGGATCAAGTGGTTTGCTTCTTGCCCATGTCATCACAGTTGATAAACAAATGAATACTTTCAATGTGTTGAAATTCTCCAGTTCTGCATGAAGGGCTGCAAAAGGATCATATATATGACACTATGAATGCTTCATTCCCAAAGTTTTGAAAGAGTTTTCTTCTGACTTAAATAACAATGAATTTCTTGAATAACTTAATTGAGTGTTGTGAATTTGATGACATATCTAAATACACCAAAGATCAATTTGATAATTTTCTTAATTCTTATTTTCTGTGTGATAAAAGTTCTCTAAAATTATTAGGATAATTAAACTGCTGATCACTTCTGAAGGAAAAGTGTTAACAAAGCTAAATTATTCAGAGGCAATGTAAGTGATCTGAGCAGTTTTAGATTGAATTAAGGATGACAACTTTTTGTTCTATGGATGCTGCTCAATTTCTGGTACTTCAAATAAGATTAATGATTTAAATGAAGATGAGAGTGGTCATTGTAGTTATGAACACTACTAAAGGAGTGATGAAAATGAAGCTTGAAAGAAAAAAAAATAAGGCCTGTACAGAAGTTGAACCCAAGACTGGCTGTTTAAAACCTAGATAACTTGATTTAATCCCCTGAGTTGATAATGTACATTGACCAAAAATTTGTTTTTAAAGCTGACATTTAGAGTGTTAGTCCTTAGCCATTTGTTCTGAAAGTAATAAAACTACCAAGGCAGCATGTACCACAGCTCCATCAAAAACTAACCCTCTTTATCCATTCACTGTTTAAAACTTAGCTGGGCTGAATTTTAATTCAATTGATTGAAGGTTAGTCAGAAAAAAAAAACATGAATAATGTAGAAACTAATCCCCTGCCTAGCCCCAATCCATGTGGCTATCCCTATGAGTTTGACCTTCGTGCAGATCATGCAAATAAGAGGTGTGAGCTCGAGTTGAAAAAATTATCAAGAGTATGTTCTTAAGCCAGCTGTACTCCAAACTTGTCTCATAAATTGCCCTTTCATAGAGTGTTTTGCATTTCCTATGTTATTTATAATTCCTATGTTTTTTGTATTTCCAGTGTCATTCATATATTATTTCCAATCTTGTAGTTGTTCTGTTCTTGATGAGTAAAGAAATTAAACTCCACATAAATTTATTGCTGGTGCATTGGTTACAAATAACAAATTACCTGACACAGCCCAAGTAGCCTCATCTACCTGATCAGGACTCCCAGTTATGTCATACACAATAATGTCGCACTCCAGTAAATGGGGAAGCAGATCTTCTTTTGTATTGTACTGCAGAGTAAACATGAGAGTTATCCACTGAAATCGCTTTACAGGTCAGGTCCTAGTTGTTGAAAGGGTGGATAAAGCTATCTACTGGATAAACCTCTATTCGCTGAATAACGCATTACGTCTTCTTGACACTTATCCGCAGATTACCCTCCTTTTGAACAACTAGAGCCAGATCGTCCAATGTCAGATAACTCCACAGTATAGTCTGATCATTTAACTTAACAGATGATTAGATGGACAGATCACAGAAGTATACATACATCCAAATGTGTAATATAATATAAATCATTATAACTGAAAGTTAATTAGAAAGGTTTTAGCTAAGAAATAAGGCTGACGTCAATTCATATATACCTCAAAGACTTCATCAACCCACTTTGGTTTGTGCTGGGTTGGATCCTGTAAAGTACCAACTACTTTGTAACAATTTTCCTTTGGAATTTGGGGCTGTCCACTAGCTTGAGACTCATCATCATTAACTTCATCTTCTTCTGCTGTAGCACCAACCACAGACTCTGTCAATATCTATGAAAAGTAAAGAAAGATATCAAGACTAAATTAAAGCTACGGGGATTGACTGGAAACTCGACTAGTAAAAAAAAAAACATTTTTTCCAAACTTTCCTATTTATAATCAGAAAAACTGCACCACAACACATCTAAGTCAGATCTGTTTGATAAAAGGACCAAAGAGTTCTGTGTCTAAAAATCCAGAGTTGAGTTGCTGCTCCAGATGCTTCAAGTTCCGGTTCTTCAGACGAAACAGATATAGCAACAGCATGTCCCTCACCTTGCTTATACTTTTTCCAGTATATAAATCCACATGATTCACAAATACTAGTGTCCTTTTAGGATTCTCTCCATCTGCGTTCAGTAAGTCCGCCATTTTTGCTCTTTTTGCTTTTCTCCCCGAGAAACGTTGCTATGGAAATTGAGCGGATGAAACCTGGGGAGAGCTTCCCATGATTCTACTCGCCCCACCCCTTCACTCGTAAATTTCACAATAAGCGAGTTACAACAACTGTAGATGGCTTCGTCAACGGACCAAAGCTCAATGAAAACGATGCCGTCTTCTCGAGGACTTGGATCTATTTCAGACCTCAAAAACCTCTTTCCTACGAAAACACACTTTTTGATTTTCGTAGGGTACATGGCCCTATTTATAAGCCAAGGTCTGTGGGCTAACTTACCACACTTAATTCGTTTCCTTATTCTCAATAAACAAAAAAACCTCGTTAATTGATTTCGCAGTATTGGCTTTTTCTTACTTGATATTTGTGGTATAGTACAATATATTCTTTGTTATGCTCGATATGTGTCACAGTAATTAATATTGGCCGCTTTTTTTCCGACAGGCATCCTTGTTACAGCAACTAAAGACAAAAGCAACCACTACTCGTATAATACTGTCACTGTGGTTCTACTGACGGAATTCGTCAAACTCATAATTGCCGTAGGAATTCAGCTTCAAACGTAGGTGTATTAAAATTATAATTAAACATATCGTATTGTAAAGCAGTTTTACATGCATATAATATCTTGCAAGGCTTGTATATGTTTGTATATTGTGATCAGCTGGATGTGTACTGTGAAGGTGTTGTTGTCAGCGTGAAAGCACACACTTGAAAAGCACCATAAAATTGAAATCGCTTTGTTTCTGTTTAGATCAACCTTCGGGGAGTTCTTGCAGCATATCCGATCTAATGTTAAAGGTATTTTTCTGTTTTTTTCTTATCCTTACAATTAAAATAGTCCTGTTGTGGCTAGAAGTCCCCTAAAGTTCAAAGTAAATGATTAAATTTGAGATTATTTGGTGATTGTGTGAAATCAGTGTTAAAGGTAATTGAAAATTTACCTGCACACGAGTATTTTCTTTGATTTTAGACCCTTGCCTTGACACTGTAAATTGGGCATCTTGAAATCTTGTAAATTGTCAAACAGACATCAACTTGTTTTAAATTAATTAGCAAAAAATTTACTTGTTAACCTTTTTCCCTGAGATCTTTCCCATCTGATGTTAATATATACCACTCACTATGGCACTTTCTTGGAGATAAATCTATTTGTCGAGGAGAAATATAAAGATGTAGACTAGCTTTATTTAAAAGATATACACATGCTTAATGTTGCCTCTTTTCTCTGATTTTGTCTCTAGTGCTGGTACTTTATGTGGTGCCTTCTTTCATGTACTGTCTCTACAACAACTTGGCTTTTGTGAATTTAGCCAACTATGACCCAACAACTTACTACCTCCTGCTGCAGTTTAGAGTTGTGGTAACTGGAGTAATCTTTCAGGTAATAATGCAGGCAATAACTCTGTTTAATCTATCATAATCTCTTTTCTGTTTTATTTTTCCAGGCAAAGCTGATGAGTTTTGGACACCTCTGATTAAATTTGTTTTGCTAATCTTACCATCACATTTTTTAAAGTCAGATAGGGAAATTTTTCTTTGGGGAAATTTTAAAAAATCTGACAAATATGGTTCTTTTGCTTAGAAATCAGAAATTGAGCATTCTTTAAGATTTCATATGTAGTCATGGGAAAAACCACCTAATTAGCATTTCAAATTGTGGAAGAATTCTTCTAATATAGAATGGTTGCTTTGCCAATTTTTTTTGGAAATGATTTAGTCAATATTAGTTTTAACACATGTTCCACATGCATATTTGTTTTCAGATAAGTTTTAGAGTTTTACACCTTTCAGTGAAACAACAAATCAGTGAAGTTACTCCCTCCTTAAGGGTTTTCTGCCCATAAGCAATTAGTAATGAAACTATAGTGCGGCAAATCAAGATTTTGATTTCACTAATAGTGAAACCTTTCCTTTGGAACACCTCAACTCATTAATTTTTTTTTCGGTGATTAATTATTAACAAACTCCAGCCTAACATCAATCCAGTAGACTTCTCTTTTCAAAGGACACTTGTCAGTCCCTGAGGGCGTCCCCTTCAGGGGAGTTCCACTGTGATTTCATGTCTTGTTTAGGGCAGTGCCTCTTTTCAACCAAGAGATGCAAGTCCTGATTTTTTTATAAATTAGACATTGTTATCCATGCCTGTCAGGATATGTTCAAATTCTCATTTGGTCCTTCATCTTACAAAAGGAAACTTATGCCACAATGTGTTTTGGGATTTAGAAAAAGTTTTTCTTTGTTTCCAAATTTTTGCTACTAGTCATGGTGATCAGAATGGTAACAGCTCGGAGCTCTGAACCTAAATGTTCATCTTACTTAACCCTTTAACTCCCATGAGTGACCGAGACAGAATTTCTCCCTACAATATCAATACAATATCAACCAGACAAGTAATGAGAATAAAAAAAAATATCAGTTAATCAGTTAAGGGATAATAAGTTGATCCAATACCAAATTCTCCAAACTAACATCACAAGAACTGTATGGCAGACAGTAAGGAGAATTACTAATGAGATCGTGGTAGTTAAAGGGTTAAACTTAAAACTTGGTGATTCAGTAAATGGAACTCTTAATTTCTTTATACTATGCAAACTGGGATCAGCTTGAATTGCAAGAGCTGCTGGGTTTGAGGATAGATTTGACCTTATCCACTTAGAAGAGAGAATTATTGATCAGATCTTGTGAATTAAAAGTGTTTAAGAACTTACCTGTATTTTTTTCTTGCAGATATTGTTTAGTAAGAAGCTGAGTGGGCTTCAGTGGGTATCTTTGCTGTTGCTAACATCTGGTTGTATTATCAAGCAGATCAAATTTGAGAACCTTGCGGCAGGAAGTAGCTCTTTCTCCATACAGTTTGACATTCATCTTCTGTTAATCCTTGTCCAAGTGTTTTGTTCCTGTTTTGCTGGTGTTTATAATGAGTATTTGTTAAAGGGTAAAGGTGGTGATGTGCCATTTATGGTTCAGAATTTTTTCATGTATGTAGACTCGGTCTTGTGTAATTTTGCCGTTCTCTGGTACAATGGCACATTATCTGATGCATTTACTGGAGAAAGCCTAGCATCCATTGCCAGAGGTAAAGTTTTGGCCATTATTTTCAATAATGCTGGCATTGGCATAACCACAGCATTGTTCCTGAAGCAGCTGAATTCTATTCTTAAGACTTTTGCTAGTGCACTAGAGATCATGTTCACTGCTGTATTGTGCTGGATTATCTTTGGAATTCCAGTTGATATTTTCACGTTCGTTGCCATTGCTATTGTTTCTTATGCAGTAATTCTTTATGCTCATAATCCTGTAGATAACACACCCAAGCCTGTAGAGGGCAATCAGAAATCAAACACTAGTGTTTAGAAGCTAATTTCTTTTTAAAATCACACACACACCTAAGAGAGGAAGGTACCCAAAGAAATAAGTTTTGTCTGTAGGTATTAGATACCAGGATAGTGGGTTACAGGTGAACTAGCTGAACTTGAATAAAAGAATATCCAAGACATGTCAGTTGAAGTTTTGGAATGGAAAAGATTTTAGAAAATGAATTCAAGGTAGAAGGTAGACTTGAAGCTGGAGATGACAGTCAGGTTTTCTCCAAGTTTTGTAGTGAGGAGACAATACTTAGCCCTTTGAGCAAAAAGAGTGATCACCATCTAATATCCTCTTACATTATCATCCCTAAGTCACACATGTGGATCACAAGAAAAAGGGAAATGATCACCAACTAAAGAAGTTTTTGATTGTTAAACAAGTTCTCCTTTTCAGCACCCCTAGGAAATTTATAGAGAATAGTATGGAGATTATACATACCAATGTTAGGTGGTAAGGGATTAAAAGAAGGCTAGCTAGTATCTAGTTTATTAGATTTAATATGTTGTCTTTAACGTCTTCAGTCAATGACCAAAGTGACCAATGAAGTTCACCACTTCTGACTTAAAGGGAAAAGCGTTTTAATTTAATATATTAATTTATTTGTTTTCATAAAGTTATTATCAAATTTAGGTCTGTGTCAAGATCAATTTATACTGCGCACTTATTGCTTGTGATTTTTGCATGTAAACACCTAAGAAATGAGAGAATTGATGAAAAAGGGAAAGTAGTTTGACCAACAAATCACCCATGACAACATCAGAGGTAAAAAAAAATTAAGGGTGTAAATTGGTCTTGAATTGCAGATGAGCTAGTACAGAACACATTCATGCAGCTAATTTTAGTTGAGTATTACCAAGTAAATATTTTCTTTCTTTAAACTCTAAATCTCCAGTTAACAACTAGCTTTTCAGACATAAGAAATTGTTTAACAAGAATCACATGCATCCACATCTACTATTGGAAAAGGTTAATAAGGTCTTAGTTATGTCTTAGTACAGTACTGAATTGTTCAGGAACACACTTACCATCCACATGTCAAAATACACTTTCATATTTTTATCTGTGATAAAGTAGATTACATAGTCTAAACAGTTGAAGTTGGTATTTTATTAGCCAGGGCCCAGTTATTCAAAGGGTGGATAATGCTATCCAACAGATAAATTGCTCTCCTGTACATCAGTGCTAACAAAATGTACTGTGCTATCCACTGGAGAGAGATTTATCCATTGGATAGTATTATCCACCTCTCCAACAACTGGGGTCGGGTTTTTTAAGTTTTCCATTACTTTTATCCATTTGGGTTAATTTTTCTTCCTTTTCCCCATGCTCAAGAGGAATATATTTTTCATTTTTTAAGGGTATGATCACCTTTAAGTAAGGACATGAAATGGTTAAAAGCGTCCTGAATTGTGTGTCCCACATTAAGTCTTGGCACAATTTCTTTAATGAGAAATAAAAAAACTATTTCTGAATTTTTCAATTTGATCCACCTCAAGCTTTTGTTAAGGAAGATGTGTCAATTGTGTTAGATTCCACTCAAGGTAATTTTATTAGACACATACTTAAAAAAAAAACCTTGTCAATTAAATTATTGAAAGTTTGTCAACAATAAATTCAGAAGAAATTCAGAGACATCAGTGTTTCACTTCATATTAGCAGCATTTAATCTATTCATACTGATGGTGGACAACAGAAGCCTTGAGCCTGGCTGTCAGGGAAACCTGACAGGATTTCCAGCTTATTTGCTTCCATGTATGTCGTTTGTAAACCCCATCAGAGTTACCTTTAACCCTTTAACTCCCAGATCAAATTTGTCATTCTCCTTACTGTCAACCATACAATTCTTATAAAGTTAGGTCAGAGAATTTAGTATTGGATCAACCAATTATCCCCACATTGATATTTTTCTTCATTCTCATCACTTATCTGGTTGATACAGTAATGATATTGTAAGGAGAAATTCTGGCTTGGTCACTCATGGGAGTTAAAGGGTCAAGTTATTTCCTCATCCTCTTCCCAGTCACGCGTGTAACGCCCTTTCTAGTTACCAGCCTTCTTTCGGTCTCAGGCTGATATCGAGGGAAAAGAGGAATGTCGTCACTGTTTTCCGCCATGATGGTTTTACAAAATTGCTGAGCCTCGTGCAGTTAAGGAAATTTTACGGCTTTCGTGAAAGGAATCTCTGCTTGAAGTCAGTGCCAATGTTTGAGATAACAGATACATGAACGAGGACGACGTGGATGAAACAACCAGTCTAATGTCGGGCGAAGTAGTCACTCAGAGTTTTCGTGATAACAGAAACAGTGACCGCCGGAGTCGAAGAAATGGACAAAATAACGAAATAACAGATACGGTTAGTACTTTTTGATGCTGAAGATTGTAATGAGAGATTTCAGTTTCTGTTCTGATTTCTGAGTTTCTTTGGTTGTTGTTTACACCCAGGAATCACCTTAATATCATCATTAAAAATCATATTTTTCCCTCTTCAGTTTCGCGTTTAATATTCAAAGATTGCTCAGTTTAAGAACTTTATCAGTTACATTTAGACACACCTAGTGTTGTGCTGTCAGCCCGCGTCCCTTGTAAACTTTCAATGTACTGAAAAGTAGAGAGTTCGAGCCTCTTTCGAACGAAAACACGTCTGTGCTTGATCATGATAACTTTGGAGACACAAATGGTTACACTTCTGTCATATCCCGTAAACGCCTATTCTAAGCTCCCCTTTCTTTAAAATCAGCGAAATGTTCACTCAGAATTTCCTTACATCATTAAGCTGGCTTATTTTGGAAATAGATTTAAGAATAGTGGGAAACAGTGGGTGTAGGGTAAAACTAAACAGTTGATGTGAAATGTTAGAGTCCAGGCTTAGTTCAAAAGAATGTGTCATCACTTTCCCCAACTCCATCCAGGAGTTGATTAACCCTTGATACCCTAACAACAGTTTTCATATTCTTCATACTGTTCTTTGTACATTTCCTATGATGCTGATAAGAGGAATTTGTTTAACAGTCAAGAGCCTCCTTCATTGGTGATCATTTCCTTTATTCTCACAACCTTAATGTTTGATTCGGGGATGATATTGTGAGGAGAAATTAGATGCCAATCTTCTGTAGGGGTTATTAATGATAACAACTATGGTGTCCATTGTTGTAAAGTAATTTTGATTAACCCTCAGAACCTTAAGCATAACCAGCTTCTAATTTCTCTTTGCAGTAGTACGGCTGAATCATTCATTCGTTAAAATAAAGGAAATGATTAGCAATCTAAGAGGCTTTGATTGTCAGTACTGAAATAAATGTATAGGGAACAGTATAGAGAATACAGATACTGATATTAGAGTTTAAAAGGTTCAACCAACATACTTATTTGTTTTCCTGTCAGAATGATGGGCCTGAACTGCTTGAAGAAGGTGGTAATGAAAGGCCATCAAGGGCACGTCAGAGAAATCAGGGCAGGGAACAAAGGGTACGAGATGTATCGCCCAATGATAGTGAAATGGATGAGGAGGAGATGCTCAAATATGGAGCCAAGAGTGTTATGATGTTAATAGTTCCTGTTTCAACCTGTATGTTGGTTGTTGTAGCAACTATAGCGTCAGTGACATTCTATACACGGAAAGAAGGCACATACCTGTAAGTTGCCCACAGCTGTCTCTTGTATACTTTCTTTCGGAATATTGGGAAGGGAATGTCAAAAAAAAGATGAAAAATTTTTTGTTTCAATTTACCAGTCAATCTTTTTTAACATCATTTTGTGTCTTTCCTTAGTGAAGCAACAGACTGCCAGCTCTCATGTAAAACCAACGTTTAAAGGTGTCTTTGGTTGAGATGAGGTGGCATGTTGATAGAGTTTTTTTTTTATATAACAGTATTCAGATTTGAAAATTTTTTTGATGGCAGAAAAGTTAACAAGATCTCCCTGAGAAACTATTGGGCAATCATGTGTTGGCAGCCCTTTAACTAACTGATGGTAGTAAGGTGGTTTTCTGTGGCCATTTGCTAGCTGTCTGTTCACTGTCATTTGACCCTTTGTCAGATGTTAGTTCCCTGTAAAAGGTTTTCTGTTGGTCATTTATTTGCCCCTTATCAGCTGTTTCTTGGTTTATTGAGGGCTGTATATAACAGGGTAATTTAGTATTATCAACTGAGTTGATAACATAAATTGGCCACCAAAAAGAGTTTCAAAGCTGACATTTTGAGAAGTAGCCCTTTGTTAGAGCAAATGGGGGAGTTGTGGGTTGTGTTTGTGTTTATATGCAGAAAATGGGGCTATGCCACTGGCGAAAGAAAAACAAATAAATTAGTTGAATGGAAAGCACTTGTTGATACCGTGGAGATAAAGAGTGCCGATTTGAAAGATTCATTTTTGTTCTAGAGTTTGGTGGCTTTCCAAACTGCCTAGAAGTAGGGAAATATAATAGCCTCCATTAATCATTTTTCTAATCAATCAACCTCAATGTTGATCTATTAGTGTGTACACACCATTTCATGAGGATGGAAACATAAGCCAGGCAAGGAAGGCTGGAGAGGCAATAGCAAATGCCTCCATAGTGATTGGTGTTGTTCTGGCTCTCACCGTTGTCCTTGTGCTGCTTTATAAGTTCCGATGCTATTGTGTGAGTACAGTAATTTTGCTTCTCCCCACATGTAGTTTAAACTTGTTACTCATATTACGTGAGCCTGTTATATCTCAAGATTCCCTCTGAACTTAGAGTTTTATCTCCACATCGAGACCACTCTGCAATAAGTTTACCATAATGATTGCTCGCATGATCTCCAAGGTGACAAAACATTTTTTTTGCTGTATGAACCTAGGTTGAAAGTAGCTTTAGTTAACTCCAATGTTCTTTTTGTACTTTTTATGTAGTAAAGTTAGTAACATCATATGGTAAAGTATCACTAGATAATGAATGATTTTCATAGGTGAGCTGCAATTTTAAGCAATTGCAGAAAAGAAGCCTGAAAAAAATTATATAATTTACACAGCCATGCATTGGAAGTGGGAACATTCTAGAGGGTTTGTGTAAATCATGAAATTCTAGCAGCATGCTGGTATTCATCAGATAATGAATTATTATTTCTCTGTAAAGACTTATAATATTTATGGGAAGATTGTACTAATCTGCCTCATTTAACAAGGGACTGGATTGTGAGACATATATTGGTAATAATACCACAGTGCCACACCTTCCTTAAAGCAAATTTGTTAGAGTGAGATTCTCAGATCTTTTTAAAAGGGAAATTAAGTTAGTGAAATATAATAATTAATTACCTTAAAACATTCACAGGAATGCTCTGGTTGTTTCCTAGGTAATATCAGGATGGTTGGTGCTATCGTCTTTAATGCTGTTATTCTTCTTTGGCTACATTTATTTCCAGTAAGTCATCCATACTTCACACTCACTTTACCAGCTTTGCTTTCCCCATTAAATAAAACAATTGGAACTTGTCATTGTGTGACTTCTTAGAATGATGGCGAATGTTACTGTTTGTGTTAGACTCTCAGTTTTATTGAGTGTGTAGCAAGTTTTCAAAGCCTATAAGAGATCTCATTTAAGTAAAACCCAATTCAATCACAAATTAGATTTGACACCTATTAAAAATATCTCTATTTACTCTATTTTCCTTGCCACACCTAGTCTGTTTTCCTCGGTTGTCATCTATCCTAAGCTTGCCTTTGTTTTTGGCTAAGGTGCTTTGTATGTCAGTGACAAAACTCTTTTTTAATGTGCAGTATTTGTCCTTGTTGTCAACAGAGAGGTGCTGAAGGTGTACAATGTAGCAATGGACTACTTCACATTATCATTGATAATCTGGAATTTTGGGGTTGTAGGAATGATTTGCATACATTGGAAAGGACCTCTTAGATTACAACAAGCATACCTTATCTTAGTTAGTGCTTTGATGGTAAGCCATAGCTTTGTTTTTTGTTTGTTTGGTTGTTTTTTGTTGTGAGATGTGTACTGGTTTGAAAGCATAAGATAAAATTCTTAAACTAATGAGTCACTAACAATACTTAGTGAGGCCAAAACACACTAAGTTTCATGTCCTTATTGTTCACTTCTGGACACTTAATTGCCACATTCCCATACATATCAGTGAAGCCTTTCACTTATAATTTTAGATCTAAAAATGTGCTAACCAATCAAACAATATTCCCCCAGTTGATGAGTTTTTCTCTTCTTGTCCCATTTCTGCTTGAGAATGTATGGATGTTTAGAAGATGTGGGGCTCAAAGCAAAGTTCAGCAGATGTAAACGTACTCAGGGGTTTCAATAGATTGTCCATAAGAGGCTGTGGGTGCTGTACCAGTAATAGGCACGTGTGTTCAGAAAATGGGGCGTAAGGCAGAACCCTAACAGGAGAGCCTGTTTGAAGGCTAAATGGACCTGAAGTCTTACATACAGTGGTAGACTTCTGTTAACAGCTTTCATACTTTTTTTTTTTTTTCAATTGGTGATGCAAAGCTTGTTTTACTCCATAGGCTTTGGTTTTTATCAAATATTTGCCAGACTGGACTACTTGGGCAATATTGGCAGCTATTTCACTCTATGGTAAGCAACAACACCCTCTCTTTAGTCTTACTGTGGGTTTATATTGCTTGTGAAATACCTCAAAT